ACTCCCGGTCTCTCGTCATTGACCAAAGGGTCAATGCCAAGCCATCTGCTGCCTTCGTCAAGCCCGGTCAATCATTCAAGTACTGCAAGACCGAGCAGGACAAGGAAGACACCATTCCCATCACCTTGAACGGTGTTGCTCCGTTCTATATCGAGATCGAGATCAAGCATCACAGTGGAACTGTCCCTGAGACATACAGAATTCCTTCTATCCAAGGCAACACGTACGGCATCCACATTCCCAGGCAACATTTGCGCCTTGGAATCCAACATGTCCGCATCCGCGAAGTTAGAGACGCTCGCGGATGCCAAAAGAAGTACGAGATTGGTGCGCCGTCTGTGCAAGTTCATCTCCATGACGCTCCCGCCATCTACCCTCTGGAGAGCCGAGGTGACTACTGCGTTGGTGAACGTATTGCCTACACGCTTTCCGGCACGCCTCCCTTTGAGATTTGGTACGATTTCCAGGGCCAGCAACGCAAGGCCAAGTCTAGCACAACCAACTTCCGTCGTATCGCCGAGTCACCCGGCGAATTCACCATTACCTCTATCTCTGACAAGGCCTCGGAGTGCCGCGCCTCTGTTGACATCACCAAGACCATTCACCCTCTGCCCGCCGTCAAGATCAGCAGGGGTCGACAGACTCGTGTGGATATCCATGAAGGTAATGAAGTGGAAATTCTCTTTGAGTTCTGGGGCACTCCGCCATACGAATTCACATACACCCGCAGCTCCAATGCTCGCAAGGGCCAGAAGAGCGTGGTTCTGGAGACACGCCACGACGTCTCGTACGAAAGCAGCAAGATCATCCGCGCCAGCCAAGAAGGTACATACGAGGTGGTCGCTATCAAGGACAAGTTCTGCGCCTTCTCTACCCAGCAGGTTGCCGACAGCGGCAAGGAGCAAAAGCTGCTTAAATACTAGAATGAATTACAACGAAACTGGGGCAAAGGGGGGTATTTTCGGAATGGATACACACTTGCTTGGGCTTGTTGTTGTGTGACGAGAAAAGGGGCATGTTTTGTGTATACGTCTTTTGTTGGTGTGCATAGGCATTTTATATCATGGCACGGCGTTACAGAAAGGGGAAAACACCAAGGTTGAATAGGGCTATAATCAGCATAACCAAAGACAATTTCATTTTGTAATCACTTAACTGGGCCGTGATTCAATGTACAGACATTCCGATATGTGGCTAAGAGAGAAGAATGATACGATGAAAAAACGAACTTTTGATGCTCTTGGACTTTTCCTAACCTCGCTATGATGCCCCCGAATTACAATATCTACATTTTTCGTAGATCCGTCTCTCTTCTCCTCTATTCGGTGAGCTCAATCTTCTTGATCAAATCACCACCAATCCTAGCAATCTCCAACAACACAGCCGGCTTATTCACCTCAACGATGTCACCCTCCTCGTCATCGCCGTCGCCCTCTTTGACGCGGTGGAAGTTGTACGGCAACCCGACGCGGAACTTTTGCCGACTGCGCAGCTTGGGCTGCCAAATCGCGCCAATGACGGCGTCGCCGGCGGCACCGTGGAAGAAGACGAGTGTATCCTCGTACGCCGTCTCGAGCTCTCGCAGCAGCACCGTCGCGGGGTGTCGCGCAAGCGGCAGCGGGATCTTCCCCGTGCGCTCGTCGAGGTTCTTGAAGAGGGATGTGCGGGTCCCCGCCTCGGAGGCGGCGTCGCGGGCGACGCGTTTCAGGCCCGAGGTGGAGAGGTGGACGAGGACGTCGTAGTCTGCGAGGGACGGCTGGAAGAGCTCTGCGACGTCGAGGCGGATGCCTTGCTCTTTGATTCTCCGGCTGGCGGCTTTGGCGAGGCGGGTCATGCGGGTTGCGAGGAGCTTGGAGGGTCCTTGGCGGGTGTAGGCGAGGCCGAGGTGGTCGTGCGGGGTTGCGACGAAGAGGACTGCGTGGGACATGTTTGGGTCGCGGGCGCGCCAGGCTTCAAGGTGGTGTTGGGCTACGGCGCGGTCGTCGGCGGTCATGTCGTCTGAGGAGTCAACGACGAGGGCCTCGTCGCGCCAGTCCCAGCGGGCGAGGAAGAGGATCGTGCGGAGGAAGCCTGCTACCGTGCTGGAGGGGACTTTCCACGGGTGCGGGTTGAGGAAGACGTGGAGGACGAGGAGCTCGATGAATTCTTCCGAGAGGTGGCCTGCGAGCTTGTGCGCGTTGAACCAGTGCTTGACGAGGCGGATTGTGTTGGAGAGGGTGGTGAAGCGGGTGCAGTAGGTTGTGATTGTCTGGGTGTGGAGGGGTAGGTGCTTGTGGCGCCAGTTGAGGTTGAAGAGGGCCTCTTCGGCCTCGACTCTGCTCTGGGGGTTGAGGGTCTTGTTCCTGGCTTGGCGGTCTAGGAGGGTCTCTTCGAGCTCTGCGTAGATGCGCAGGCGGAAGGCGGCACCGTTGGGGTAGATGATGTCTAGGTAGGCGAGGTTGTCGATATCCCGCGCTGCGTTGTCGCGGCCGAGGCTTGTGGAGATGTTGTCGTGGGCGGCGCGTAGCCGACGGTCAATGTCGAGGAGGAACTCGATTTTGGTCTCCTGGATGGCGACGAGGTTCTCGGGCCACTTGCTGGAGGCCTCAAAGTAGAGGTTCACGTCTATGGGCGGCGGGGCGGATTTCTGGGAGAGCGCAAAGGGCGGCGTGACGGACGCGGATCGCAGTTCGGGGACGACGGGGGCGATTTGTCTGACAGAAAGGGGCATCTCTTCGAGGCCGCGAATGTCCTGCTCGAGCGTGCTGAAGGCCTTCCTTGCTGCCTCAAAGGACTCCCTGTCGAACGGCGAGATGTCCAAGGAAGGCGGAATGTCGGCCTCGTGGAACCGCAGGTCGCCGGCGCCGAGGCTCACGTGGCGCTGGAGGACGTAGCGGACGATTTCCTCGCAGATTTCCGCAGATGTCTGCCTCGTCCACTGCACGCACTCGAGGATGCTGCCGTCCTGGAAGCGACGGAGCTCGGCCTTGTCACCCCAGAACTTGCGGAATTTGGCCGCCTCCTTCTCGAGCTCGGCCGAGGGACCGTACTCCATCAACCGGCCCATGTTGGCGGGGTCGAAGATGACGCCGACTTGGATGTTGGACAGGTTCTTGGGCTGGGTGCTGGTAATTGACCACGGTGCCGGTTCTTGGCTCGTGAAGTGGATCAGCTGTGATCTCTCCTTCAACGCCTTCTTCAGAACGGTGTACGCCTTGAAGCTCAGATCCCAGACGGCACCTCGACGGTCCGGGTTCGTGCTCTTTGCGTTGCTGTCCACGTTTTGGATCTCGAAAATGCTATCAAACAGGTGCAACGGCAAGTCGGCTTTGGTGATGAAGGTTGGCTCGAACTGGTTGGCCAGAGTATCGTTAAGCACTTCCATAGTCGTGTTGGCATGGAAATGGAGGAGGCTCGCGGACCAGGGGCTCATCTTGTATAAAATGTTGACCTCGCGTTCGGGATCGAACATGACGGGGCCGTTTTCTCGAATAAGGTCGGCGCCCAGCTTGTAAGTGCCAAAGACAAATGGCTTCTTGGCAAACTCGGTAGACGCAAGGAACTGAACTGTGGCCTTGAACAGCTCTGTGCTGCTCAGAGCCGAAGAAAGCGCCGGCTGACCGTTCCGTCCACCAGTCTGTAGCAGCAACGCCATCATGATTGCCCACTCAAAGTGGCCGAATCCACCCTTGGCCAGCGAACTGCCCAGTCCTCGCTGTTGGAGCCAGATCCGTCCGAGTATGCAAGCGTCTGCAAAGGCTGCGCAATCCGTCTTGGCTCGGGTGAGGACCCGCAGATACGTGACAAAGGTGTCTTCAGCCTTGATCGTCGAATTGTAGAAGGGTGTAGATACAGTCGATTCCTTGGCGTTCTCCGGCTGCCCGTTTCTGTTGCTGTTGTACGCGGGATGCAGCTTCTTCTTGGGGAAAACACCTTCGGGCGCGCAAGGGATGATTCTGACGACGAAGTCTGCCTTTGAGGATCCCGATTCGGTCTTTTCGTCACTCTCGTCGCTTTCTGAAGATTCGGATGTTGAAGAGGGTCTGATGGAGAGGACGGGCAGAAGGGCGTTGCCGTTAAGATTCTCGAATTCCAGGTCGGCAGATCCTGCCAACTCCTTGCGCAGGGCGGCTGCAATGTTCGCAATGTAGTACGCTCTACGGTAGAAGTAGCGCATGTTCTGGTGATCCTTTTCTTGGAATAGCGAAGCCGGCATCTGCACAATCATGTCCACACCCTTGTTGGTCTGAGCCTGGATCATCGTCCTCGAGACATAGCTGCCCACGACATTGTAAGCGGCGGGCTTCTCGTATGACAGCTTGTACGGCGCATCGTCGGCGGGTTTCGGGTCCGGGTAGGGAATCTTGATCTTGTTTGTCTTTTGAAATTTGCGCGTGGCTTCGGCGATCTATATATAATATGGTTAACACAAAGCTCTCTGGCGGGATAGCAACATCATTGGGGGGTCACGAACAGGAATAGGACCGTGGGACTCAATTCCTTGAACGAGGTTCCTGATCTTGTGCAAAAGAGTGTCGGCACCATCGAGAGCCTCGGCGTAGTCGACCTTGACTTCCTTCAACAGTTCGTCCGTCTGTAAGACGAATGGACTCGCCGTCGCAATATTGGCGGCGATCTTGGAGTCGCCCTTGTGTGAGACCTTGCGTCGCTTGGCGCTTTGTTCCATTTTGGCGACTTGAACGGTTCAGCCCGGTGTATATGATGTACAGGTGGGCTGTCTAATTCGTGACCGACAAGCGCAATGGTGCAGGATCACAGCAATACGGGTCGTAACCTCAGATCCGTTCGACTGCTGCACCAAAGACGCTGCCGATGCTGGGAAATTTTTTGAGCGTGGGGCAGCCGATAAGAGCTGGGAGAAAACTTATCCCTGGCCGACAGTCCGATAAGACATTGGACTATGCGATGGACCCACTTTAACTTTGTGGTCGCCAGTCAGCCAGCTTCAGGCTTGAACCCCCCGCCATTGACGCAGCGGATAACTGCACCTTAACCCTGCAGCCATGGGGTTGGATAAATATTAGACAGAGCATAGAAAGGTACGGATATCATTGGATTACCTAGGTTATCATGCAACTATATGGACTTCACAGTTCAGTTGGTTATTAAACAACAACAAAAGTGTCATCAAAGGATCACTATGGTCTCTTTTTGGAGCAATTGTGTTGCAACAATGGCCGAGGATACAGCAGAGGGGCTAGCGGAACACACCGGGGACTTCTCCACAACGTCGGATGACAACGAGCCGCTCGAGTGCCGGACTGCGTACCGAAGGTTCGGAGCTAATGTTGACAGACGCAGGGGACCGCAGAGCTCCAAACCTCGCCAGCGACCCAGCGAGCGCCTCGAGAGGTACCTGTGTGTGGTGCATGCCGCCGGTATCGCAGTGACAATTAGTCGGTTGGCTGGGGATTTTGCTATGCATTCATACATTGTCAAGGAGGCCTGTTCGGAACTGAGGTTGGAAATTCCTGACTTTTGTTCCGCTTCGGCAGAGTCTTCGGCAAACGGCGCCGCTTCCCGAACCGATCCCCGATTTTGCCCTTGTAACCTCGTTTATAGTTGTATGGTTGATGTTTTGAAGTTCAGGTTTCCCTCTGGTGATGCTGTTACTGTGAACTCCAGGATAGAGAGGGTGTAGACAAAACAAAGCATAGGTGCTACTGGGTATGCACTCCCTACATCAGAGGCTCAGAATTGTCTTTGCGGGGTTCAGACGGGGTCAAGGGGAAAGCTGGAGGTGGACTTTTCCCAGTTTGGCATCACCCCAGAGCCCAAGCCGCAAGAACATTTAGCCCCGCCACTTTCCGAGTTGCGGAACGTGAGAGGGGGGACTGCTTAGGTAACACAGCCAAAAGGTGCATAGAGCATTCTGAAGGAGCTTGCCGTCTGCTGTACGAATAGGTACGTTCTCAGACTCGCCGGCCACTGCGGCCAGCGGTCCAAGCTTGAACCCTCGTCCTTCCTCTTGCCGAGCTCAATCCCGAAGGGATGGGGCGGAATCAGGACCCCCCTAGACATGTTCCCCAATCCACATACTGCATGCTGCGCTCGGCGGCAATTCACGGTCTTGTAGCTAGGTCCTGGGGGATAAACGTAGATGCAATAAATTGGCCGGGGCCCCTTCGGAATCCCTCGTGACGGAAAGCGTTTCTTCACTTCTCCTCCCTCCCCAATTCCTCTCTCTCCAGCTTCATTGTCCTCTCCTGTCGATAGCTTCTCGTTGTCACTCTTGCGTACAGCGGCCTCTTCCAATCCGCTGCTCAAACACACTCTGCGGCCCTTGTAACGCCCCTTCGTAGTCACGTACTACCATCCCACACACTCTCACATCCCACGATGCCTTCAGCAGCTCTGTGTGCTCGCTCATTGCGGGCTTACGCTCGCCATGGCTCCAACGTATGTTCCAATTGAACCAGCAGTGGCAAAAGCTGGTCCGCGTAGCTTCAGACTAACCCTTTCGTTTCGATCAGCACACTGCCATTCTTGCCCGCGCCTTCTCAGCATCTGCGCGGAGGCCAGAGATCAACAAGGTCTACCCTTCAGCTACTGAGGCTCTCAAGGACATGAAGCCCGACTCCACACTTCTCTGCGGTGGCTTCGGTCTCTGCGGTGTTCCCGATACCCTGATTGACGAGGTTCTGAACAAGCCCGAGATCACCGGCATCACCGCCGTCTCTAACAACGCCGGTACCGATGCCTCTGGCCTCGGCAAGCTTCTCAAGACGAAGCAGATCAGCAAGATGATTGCCAGCTACATTGGCGAGAACAAGACCTTTGAGAAGATGTACCTCACCGGTGAGGTCGAGCTTGAGCTTACCCCCCAGGGCACCCTCGCTGAGCGCTGCGCCGCCGGCGGTAAGGGCATTCCGGCCTTCTACACCCCGGCTGCCTTCGGCACCGTGGTGCAGACCGGAGAGCTTCCCCTCCGCAACAAGCCCGATGGCTCCCCCGACCAGTTCTCCTACCCCAAGGACGTTAAGGTCTTCAACGGCAAGTCGTACCTCCTCGAGGAGAGCATCGCCGGTGACTACGCCTTCGTCAAGGCCTACAAGGCCGACAAGCTCGGAAACTGCCAGTTCCGCCTGGCCGCCAACAACTTCAACGGCGCCATGGGCCGCAACGCCAAGATGACCATTGTCGAGGCCGAGCACATTGTCGAGCCCGGCGAAATCTCCCCAGAGGCCGTCCACCTGCCCGGCATCTACGTCAAGCGCGTCATCCAGAGCACCACCCCGAAGAACATTGAGAAGTACACATTTGCCAAGGACCCCAACGACGCCGACGCCAAGAAGGCCCTCGGCACCGGCGACACCGCCGCTAAGCGCGAGCTCATTGTCCGCCGCGCCGCCAAGGAGTTCAAGAACGGCATGTACGCCAACCTGGGCATCGGCATGCCCATGCTCGCACCCGGCTTCGTCGGCCCCGAGGTCGAGGTCCAGCTGCAGTCTGAGAACGGTATCCTCGGCCTCGGCCCCTACCCCGCCAAGGGCAACGAGGACGCCGACCTCATCAACGCTGGCAAGGAGACCGTCACCCTCAAGCCCGGTGCCGCCGTCTTTGGCAGCGAGGAGAGCTTCGGCATGATCCGCAGCGGCCGCATCAACCTCACCATTCTCGGTGCCATGCAGGTCAGCGCCAACGGCGACCTCGCCAACTGGATGTTGCCCGGCAAGGTCAAGGGCTTCGGTGGCGCCATGGATCTCGTCAGCAACCCCAGCGCGACCAAGGTTGTCGTGACCATGGAGCACACCGACAAGAAGGGCAACGCCAAGATTGTCAAGCAGTGCGCTTTCCCCTTGACCGGCAGAGCCTGCGTGTCAAGAATCATTACGGAATTGGTAAGTCGCTCTAACCTATACTATAATCCAAATCCCTTGACATCACACTAACTTGGCTTGCAGGGTGTCTTTGACGTCGACTTCGCCAACGGACTGACCCTCATCGAGATTGCGGACGGAGTTACGGTGGAGGAGATCAAGAGCAAGACCGAGGCGCCCTTCACCGTCGCCGACGATCTGAAGCCCATGTTGTAAAAAGGAGTATATTGTACGAGAAGATCTTTCTTGGAGAATGAATGAGTCTGTGGAGGAGGTATATACCCGTCGCGATGGGTACGCCATTGTCATCATCTAGAGTACGGCGTCAAAGCTTAGGGATCAAAATGATAGCCATGATTTTTGCATTTCCATCCTATCGGTTCTACATATGCTCAGACTGCCCTTGCCCTTGCCAAACGTGAGGCTCCTAAAACACCAGTGTATGCAAAGGGGGTAATAATCATGTCCGAATCGTGCTATGCTATTGGCACTACCCTGCCAAAATAGCATGAGTGACTGGTATCTTACACTTAGTCGGTAGAGTCCGGTAGCAATTCCAGCCCCAGTCGTCCCCAAGTTCCGCGTCCCACTCGAGGAAGAACTCAAGAACCCATAAAAGACTGCAAAATGTCATCGAGCCTCCGCCTCTTCTTCCTATTCGGATTCAACCCCGTCTCGACCTTTCCAAGCTCAACCTTGGGCCTCAACGACTCCGTTGGTTTCCGCACCGACAACTCCAGCTTACTGCCCACCCCCGAAGGCCTCCTAAAGAAGGTATACCTAGACGTGGCAAATAATCCCCGACGCACATACGACACAGCCGGCGTGATGCCCGGCCTGCCAGAGCCGCAGTAGCCCAGCTGGAGACACGCCAGCGGCTTCGCGGGCAACACCAGCTTCTCTGATACTGCGGTGAGAGTACTCGTCTTTAGACCCGCTCTCTTGAGGTCTGCGTCCCCCGAGAGTTGGCCGAGGAAGGAGTACAGCCAGAACCCCCACGTTTCAAAGGGGAAGCCTTTGCAGGTTTGTGCCTCGTAGCCTGGCACGTCGACGTACATGGATAGATTCCTCTTGGCCGCCTCGCTGAGGTGGTCCAGGAACAGAGGTGCGCTGTCCTGGCCGGAGGCGTCGATCGTGATGGGCTGGTTGCTGCTCTGGCAGAAATTCATCAGCCCGTCGTCAATGTTGCGCGCCATGCCCTGCAGCTGTCTCGGCTTGCTGTCCTCCTTGGTCCCCTCGACGGCGCCGTCGAAGAGTAAGAGGTACCACAGCAGAGAATCGTGAGGGCCATGCAGAGGCTCGTCCAAGTCCCAGCAATTCTCCTCCGCGGCTGCCCAGGCGTCCCGCCAGTCGCTCCTCGACGCGTTGACGTCGTATAGCGCCAGTGAGGGGAACTTGGAGACGTACTGCAGCGAGCGCGTCGTGACGGACTCGTCGCCCCAGAGGCGGAGGACGCGTAAGAGCGGAAAGGGGTCGTCCATTTCGGACCAGCTCCTTACGAGGCGGTCGTCGACTTTGGGGAAGCTGGCATGTTGTTGGTGCTCGTCATAGGCCGAAGCCGACGACGCCGGCTCAATGATTTCGAGGATGGCGAGGTTTTTGAGCTTGGCTAGCGCTAGGAGCTCGTTCTCGCCAAAAGAGCAGGATCCCGTGATGGTCAGGTGCGTTACAAAGTCCACGTTGGGGGACTCGAGCGGTTTGAGGTAGTGGCGGAGACTTGGCGCGCTCGGTTGGCATATGTGTTGGCGGTAGCGGTACAGGCCCAGCGTCTTTTCGTCATCTTCGGCGAGGAGGAATTTAGAAAAGACCTTCCAGGCTTGGAAGCATACACCTCTACATCAAAAGAAACGAATGAATATCTCGAAGGGTGAAGATATGGTATTTGAGAGAGAGAGGGAGGCTCAGGTAGAGGGACCAACCTATTCTCTAAGAGTCGCCATATCCTCCACAAGTACCGCCGCGGCAGATCTTCCCGGGCGAGATGCTGTTCTTCCACGTCGCCGATATTCTCTGCTATGGTGTGCACCGCCATGTCGGCGAGGGACCTTGCTCCCTTCCTGCCTTGGCCGCCGCGGCCTCTTCGTGGCTGCCGGCCGGTCCGCCGTGACCAGTCCCGGCCATTTTGGTAGGTGTCGGGAGGACGCTGTGCGACGACTTCTTTGAAGACTTGTCCGTTTTGGTCATACATGAGGACAGATCATGTGAGAACGCTGCGCAGGTAGCTTAAAAGGTCGGAACAGCCTACAGATGTGACTGTATTTATTCAAGTCGAGGATTCGTTATGGTCACGGTGATACGTGAGGTGAGATGACGGGTGAGCAAGGGACGGACTCTGTGAGAGACCGAAGCACCGTGTTCGTACCGTTCATGCTACACCGCACTGTACAGCCGAGATACCCTCACTAGGAGAATCACACCTCAAGCCGTAGTTATTCAAGCATTAGGCAAGGGCCAAGGCGCATTTAAAGTAGGAGGCCGGCTCTCATTTCTTAAAATGGCGTCAAGCACGGCATTCAATCCGCCTCAGCTCGATCACGGCATCTCACTCAGGAGAGCGAGCAGTAAAGAATGTATCGCTGCAAAAAATTTCTCCAATCACCAATACAGCCGAAGCTGCCACGGGTCAGAGGGTAAGTGTGCGAGTAAAGTGCGTCAGTCTCTCCTCCTGTTTCCCCTCCAGACACATTCATTGATAACGTGAAAGCCAGAGTGAATAAGGAGGATTAATATGTTTTACGATTAGGTAAAGAAGAAAAGAAGAGAAAGGAAAACCGTAGGCTTTCGCGCGCGATCTCAGCCTTGATATTGGTTTTTCGAGAGTGGGGCCAGTGGGGAGGTGGTTGGTCCGCGCTTAGGTTTTGCCGATGGCCGGGATTCACTGTCCGAAGCGGCTCAATACCTTGGTCGGCCACCTGGAGGTTGATTGTCATTGAGGTGTTGGAATTTCCTTTGGCGTTTTTTTGCGATGAACCTGTTTCACACCTGGGTTGGTATTCAGATTGGAGGCTCACTTGACTTTGGATCTATGCTAGACCTTCATCAACGATTCTGGTGCTCTGTTGGTTCGCTCAGTGTTTGTTGCCGATATTACACTGCTCCCAAAGACTATTCCTACCTACGCAGCTTTGATTGCCATTCGTAGTTGATTAATATACGACCAGTAAACCACAGTCGGATATAACTACAAGTGACTCATTCTCTTGTAGCTGTCATGTATCAAAACCTAGCTTATTTTTGCTTACCAGCCAGTTTCTCGTTTTCTCTTGACCACCTTCAGTTTTGATATAGAAAGGGTCAATAGAAGCAAGAGTACCGACCGAGTGGGGTCAATTCACGTAACGAATGAGAGCCGTCATATTGAAATCATACTACAATTGGGCTCATTCTTTCCATGTATCTATCAGGGTTCTATCATAGGGGGCCGCGCCTCTATACTGACGGGAAGGAAGATGTTGCATCTGTCATCAGAGTGAGGTGATTGACGATTACATGCCATGTGTGGCTGAGATGAAGGACCCTATGCACCTGTGCATCTCCTGACACAAGTTGTCTACTTTGAAGCCTTCCTGTTTTAGCGCGGGGCACAAAGTCGTGGCGGTGAAAAAGAGGCCAAAGAGTGGCCCCCCTCGGGTAGAAATGGGCTGCTACCGCCGGCCAATGAAGGCCAAGGTGTTTGTGTTTGCGGGACTCTGCAGATTCAGGGACTGAAATGGACTGCAGTATCGTGTTTTGCGCGCCGTACCCCAACGATGCTGTTATGGACCGTTGTCAGGTAACTTGGCAAGGCGAAATACCGTAGGTAATGATGATTGCCCCTCCTGATCTGCCGCACCTTGGACTCTGTGACTCTTCGAGCTATTCCTTAGTGTCTACCCAATGAGACCATAAGTACACTCCGATTCACTGTGTCGACCCTGTGGCACTCTGCTTTATCTCAAGTGAATCCCTCTCGCTCTGCTTCCTGTCTCCGACGCCATAAACTTCTTCTTTAAAAACCACCACTTTTTAAGTGCAGCCGCCGCCCACCAAAGCAGCACAGCACACTTTTACCCCGCCATCCTACCCTTTGCGCCAACCATCTCTGCCAAACATCCCACTTCGACCCCGCAATCTCACTTTGTCTACGCAGACAATCAGAAGCAAACCAGCAGAGACGAAAAAACCCCATCACAATCAAAATGGCAGGCGGACAACCAGGAGGCAACTCTCGCGGCCGTGGCGGCAAATTCAGAAAGTTCACCCGTGGAGGTTCGTTAAAAATTAACCCAACGACAGACTGAAGTTCTGGCTGACACTCTATTGACTGAAAAGGTGGCAAGCACTTCTCTCGTGATCTCAGACCCCTCGACGCCGATGGCAACGAAATCAACATCAAGAAGAAGGATGAGGAGAGCTCTGAAGAGGAATCTGAGGAGGACTCTGAGGAGGAGTCCGACTCTGACGAGGGCGGCGCCGCCCAGGCCGAGATGTCTCGCGCCGACCGAAAGGCCGCCGCAAAGGCTCGCAAGGACGCCGCCATAGCCAAGAAGAAGGCCCAGGCCGTCGAGGTCGGCGACCTCCCTCCCACCGACTCTGAGGAGGAGAGCAGCGACGACGACATGCCCGCCAACCCCAATCACTCCAAGGCCTCTCGCAACCAGACCAAGGCGCCTGCCCCCACCGCCGACGTCGACGAGGCCGCCGAGGGCGTCAAGAAGCTGACCGTGGCCAACAACCGTAAGGAGCGTGAGAGCATGGAGGCCGCGCAGGCCAAGGAGAGATACCGCAAGCTGCACGAGGCCGGCAAGACGGACGAGGCCAAGGCTGACCTGGCGCGGCTGAGACTCATTCGCGAGCAGAGAGCAGCTGATGCTGCTCGGAGAGACGTAAGCCTTTTTTTCCACCAAACTTTGATTAGACATTGGAACTGACCGTCAAACTTTACAGGCCGAAAAGGAAGAGCGCGAGGCCCAAGAAGCTGCGAAGAAGAAGGAGATCGACGCAAAGGAAGCCAAGAAGCGTGAGGCCGCCCTCGGCCCGTCAGCCAAGAAGGGCAAGAAGTCTAGCAAATGAGCTGTTCCTGGCCGAGTCGGACGTTCAGTATTCTTTGGCAATCTGGACGCAACCTCAAGTTATATACCATCGTTCTTCCTGGTCCATATTCGATTGCAGCATCACATGCCTCGGACGCTACGTGGAAACCACAAATGTGGACAAAAGATTTCATTTGCCAGCCCCTTTCGCTGCCAAAGGCTACCCTGCCAGACTCCGTGAAATGCTCTATTTTACATGAAGCCAACGTACATGCGTCGCGCAGTGTAATCGTGTGATTTGCCCTACATGCCACTCAACCCATCCGATCCAACGGCATCATGCCATACCTGATCAAAATCCACACCTTCTTTTTGGAACAGTTCCCGGATCTGCTTAGCCACCTCAATCTGCTTTTCGGGGCCAAACCCACCAGGTTGCGAGGACTCAAACTGCACAATCTCGATCCACCGGAAGAAGAGGTTCTCCTTGCCAATTGCGTTGAGAGCATCCCTAAACTGGAACACCTGTCTTCGCCTATCGTCTTCCTTTGCTGTCACGCCTTCTTCCTCGACTGACATCCAGCCGTAATCCTCATGATGCACCAGCACCAAGCGTCTAAAGGCATCTAGTGCGACATCGTTGCGGTCCACCATGGTGTGCGCGTCAATCATGGCCTGCCAGTCGAGATCCCACTGACCCGTCATGGTGAGGTAGCCAGTCTTCTCCTGCAGCAGGAGAGGCGAGCAAGCCTGCCGGATGACCTGCTGCAGCGCCTCGCCGCGCTCCCTGTCCTTGAAGATGTCGCCCAGCTGCTGGTCCCACTCCCGGCTGCGCCGGACGTAGATTTCCTTTTCGCGGAAGCCGACCTTCCATCGCCAGCTGACCGGGTTGCTGTACGACGTGCCAAAGACGAACTCAATAGGCCACGGCCAGACAAAGATGAAGAGCATGAGATCCAGCGTGAGCGAGCCGCCGCGCTTGGCCACCTCCCAGATGAGCTGGCCCCAGGTCGAGTCGGCGGTGGGGAAGGTCGTCTCGTTGGGGTAGCCCATGGCGGACTGGACGAATTTGAAGTAGTACGGCAGGATCCAGTACATACGCAGGACGAAGAGCGCGGCGACGGCCAGGTTCATGCCGACGGGCACGAGGAAGATCTTCTTCTTGAACTCCTTAGGCTTGGAGTCGATGTGGGTGATGTAGACGTGCTTTGGCGAGAGCGTCTCGATGAAGGGCTGGAGGACCTCTGCCGGCTTCTTGAAGGGTTTCGGCGGCGCGCCCACTGCCGGGCCCTTCTTGGGCGCTTTGGATTTGACGGCCTTCACTTTTGGCGCCATTGTGATCCGTTTCCGCGGACACACTACTGTGAACCAAGGTGGGTGGTGCTTGTGAAATGTGAATGAGATGGGGGGGGGGTCTATAAGCTCCAAGCTGGCCGAATCTGCTTTACAAATTTGGGCAAGGGGGTCGCATGCCCATCAGGTACCTGCCCCTGACGTACCGGGTGGTGGGTCTAAGAACTGTCCAATCGCCTCACGGCAGCGATTGGCTGCACATGGCTGACCTCCAATTGCCCTGGGGGAGCTCGAGAAATTTCTGGGGCATTTCGAAGGAGCTTGAGCTCTGTCTTCACTTTGTCAAGGCATTTCTTCGCAGCCTTTTATGTTGCGCCCAACCATAGATCATGCTTAGATGTAGGATATGGAACGTAAGTCACCAATTCGAGTCCATTGATTGCCCATCACAGAACCTAACAGCTCTTTAGGAGCGAAGCAGTGCTTACGTCTGCGCCTTCTGCCGCCACCCCGCCCTGTCGCGGCAGCGTGATCTCGGCCGACCAAACTACTCCGAATCGACGAAATCTGCATCGAACGGCAGCAGAGGATATGCATCATGGGGAGGCGGCAAGGGCTCTATCGGCTCGAGCATTCCTAATAAGTCAACCGGTCCGGCCAAGGGATCTGGATGGGGAGGGCCAGCATTCGGCGTAGGCACGCAGTCGAAAGTACCGAGCTCTGATGGCCTAGCAGCAGCAGCAGCAGCAACCCCCGCACAGCGAGGCAGCGAACCCGACGACGGCCTTTTACCCCACGAACGCGCCGCGCGCCAGAAGCTAGCCGCCCAAAAAGCTGCACAGGAGAAGGCCGCGCAGGACAAGGCCGGTGCGACGAGAAAGGCCCAGGAAGCTCTAGGGCAGCCTGACCCGAGACAACGGGGTTCAAAGGGGCCACTTGTGAGCGGATTTGGAAGCGGCGGTCTTCGAAGTGGTGCTGGAAGAGGCTTGGGAAGAGGTCTTGAGACTGCCCCTAGAAATGCAGGAGAAAAACAAGGAGAAAAGAAGCCGAGGCAGTTTGTCAGTGGCTTTGGGGAAGGTCGTAAAGAAGGTCTTGGAGGTGGTCTTGGAGGTGGCTTGGGAGACGGCATCGGCGCAAGCACAAAGCCTCGATCGCAAGGCGGTCTCGAGGAAAGACCTTTACGCTCAACACCCAGATCCGACTGGAGACATCGCCATGATTCAGATCAAGCGCCACCAAGCACACCTGTACCTCATCACAGACGCTCTGAAAGAGATGGACCTGGTGGTCTGTCATCCCAGAGGGACTCGCGTCAGCGGAATGGTCTGGGCAAGCCAAACGCACTGGGCTCGGGCAGCTGGAGCCAACTCTCAAAGAAGTCTCGAGACTCTACCATTGCTTCGGAGGGTCTCTCAAGAGAGAGCTTCTTCGGCCAATTTCAAGAGCGGATGGCTCAAAGCCATGACAGAAAGTCACCGACATCACGATCAGAACTTGGTGGCTTGAGCGAAGAGGTTCCAGTTGACTATGAACAAGCTGTACCGAAGGCTTCTCAGAAATTCGAGTCCAAGACGAGAGAGTTTGATGAGTCCTACGAGATCAACCGTGACTCCCGACGACGCGACAAGACCAGCAATCGTCGCGGGGATACTTACGGATCGTCTCGCGGGGCGTACAAGTCAAAAGCACAACAACGGTGGGAGGAAGATGCCGATGACTGGGAAGATGGCGGCGTGAGTGCTGCCCAACGCCGTCGTCTCAAAGCCGAGGCAAAAGCACAAAGAGCAGCGGAAGCTGCAGCAGCAGCATCTGTGCCAAGTATCTTCCTCCCAGAATTTATCAGCATCTCAAACCTGGGCTCTGCGCTGAAGTTGAAGAGTCGCGAGTTTCTACGGGCTCTGGCAGAAATGGGCTTCGAGGACATCACTGAGGACAGCATCATGACGGGAGAAACCGCTGCTCTAGTCGCCCAAGAGTTTGGATTCGAAGCAAAAGTTGACACTGGCGCTACGAGGGACCTCAAGGCTCGGCCTCCACCAGAAGATGTCACGGTCTTGCCGCAACGCCCCCCTGTTGTGACCATTATGGGCCACGTTGATCACGGAAAAACTACGCTCCTCGATTACCTCAGGCAATCTTCCGTGGCGGCGCAGGAACACGGTGGTATCACTCAACACATCGGCGCTTTCATGGTAAAGATGTCTGAAGGGAAACTTATCACTTTCCTTGACACACCTGGTCACGCGGCTTTCCTGACCATGCGTCAACGTGGTGCCAACGTCACGGATATTGTGGTACTAGTTGTGGCAGCTGACGACAGTGTCAAGCCCCAGACTCTGGAAGCGCTGAAGCACGCCAGATCCGCAAAGGTGCCGATGATTGTGGCCATCAACAAGTGTGACAAGGAAGACGCGCGTCCGGACCAGGTCAAGGCAGACCTCGCTCGCCACGGTGTCGAAATCGAAGACTTCGGCGGTGATGTACAGGTCGTCTGTGTGAGCGGAAAGACTGGTCAGGGCATGGCTGAACTAGAGGAGAATATTGTCACACTGGCTGAGATTCAAGACATGCGAGCCGAGGCCGACGGTATGGCTGAAGCTTGGGTGCTCGAAGCCAGTATCAAGCCATACGGTAAATCTGCCAACGTACTCGTCAAACGCGGAACTCTGCGCCCTGGCGACTTCATAGTCGCTGGCACTGCCTGGGCTAGGGTCCGGATTCTGCGAAACGAGGCAGGACAGGAGCTGGAAGAGGCGCCCCCTGGAACCCCTGTCGAGATTCTGGGTTGGAGAGACGAGCTGCCCGCTGCTGGTGACGAGATCCTCCAGGCACCTGACGAAGATCGAGCCAGGGTCGCTGTCAACTACCGTGGGGAGATGCGAGAGAGAGAGGCATCTTCGAAGCAACTGGCTGAGCAGGAGCTTCGTGAACGTGAGGCCAAGATTGCTGCCGAGATAGCGGCAGAGATTGAGGCAGCCGACGACGGGGACGCCGCCGATCCCGCTTCGACCACGAAAATCATCAACTTCATGGTCAGAGGTGATGTCGTGGGCTCCGTTGAAGCCGTATGCGCGACAATTAATGAGATTGGCAACAATGAAGTAAGGCCTCGTATCCTCCGGTCCGCGGCTGGTCAGGTTTCTGAATCAGATGTCGAGCATGCTGAGGCATCTGGCAGCGTCATTGCCAACTTCAGCAGCACCATTCCCGGCCATATCAAGGCCATGGCCGAGCAAAAGGGCGTCAGGATTATAGATCACAGCGTCATTTATCACTTGGCAGACGACGTCAAGCAAGTCATGTCAGAGACCCTGCCGGATAAGGTGTCGTCCAAGGTTGTTGGCGAGGCGGACATTCTTCAGATTTTCCCCATCAACATCAAGGGACGCAAGTACAAGAACATTGCTGGATGCAAGGTTAGAAACGGATCAGTCACCCGATCGACTATGGCGCGCGTTCTGCGCGGAGGTGAAAAGATCTTTGAAGGTAAGCCTAACCCCCTTAACCACCGTCTCTTGTGCAAGGAGCGACCTCATCTGACATCAAATGTAGGCAAGATCGATACTCTCAAGCACGGCAAGAAGGATGTGAATGAAATCAGAAAAGGCTCTGAGTGCGGTATCGCCTTTGACGCATTTACAGACTTCCACGTCGGCGACCAAATCCAGATGTATGAGGAAGTAAGGGAGAAGAGGTCCTTGTAAGATAATGGAGACTGCTGTAAGACATTTGTAAGAGATAGAAAGGCGGGACCGTGGGTATAGAGTTGAGCTACAGTGGTATCTGAGAGCTTCTCAACATCCAAGCTGTGCTCAGGACGAGGATGAAGGTATTTGGAGACGCAACTCATACAACCCCATACTGTAAAACAACTTAGGTCATCATTCAATAATGGCTGTTGTAGAATATTAGTGGAGGCATTTGTGCCACCTCAAACTTCAATATGTATTATTTATCTTTTACCACCGTTTCGGAGCAGAAACCGTATTCGAAGAGAACGTTCTACTCGTGGTCGTGGCTTGCGACCGCTCCTTCTCGAGCTTAGCCAACCCAATCTTATCCGTGACAGGCGTGGCATTGATTATGTTGTCAAAGTCGTCATCGTCCTCTCCATTGTCCGAGTCTGGCTCGACATCAGAGTCGGGCTTCAGGTTTTGTGGCCGTGCTATCGACTCGGGCTTCTTCTTCTCCTCTGCTGCCGGGTTTGAGAATGTCTTTGACGCGAGAACCTTGCGCCGTATCTCCTCCATAGCCGCGTCGTCATCGCTATCGTCTGATATCGCGTAGGGGTCTTTGTCATCCTCCTCCTCCTCTTCTTCTTTTGCAGGCTTCTTGCCCAGGTATATCCCGTCAACGCTGTCGCCTTCGCCAGACTCGTCTCCGCTCTCGTCGTCCTCGTCATCATCGTCATCCTCCTCATCAGAGCTCACCATGGCTCTCCTGTTTGTGTTTCCTCCCTTCCACATGTCGTCGGCGTCGGCATCCTCTCTGCTGTCCGCGTACTCCTTATCGAGCCTATCCAGCCACTCCTCCTGAACCCTCTTCACCCCTTTTTCGTCCTCACTCGCAGCGTACTTCTTCAATAGACTCCCGTTGATCTCCAAGAACGCCTCGCCATAGGAAAAGGGCGCCAGAACCTGCTCCGACCACTCAGGGTGCCCACAGATGTAAAACGCCGCGGCCAGCGCCTCGACGCAGTTCAGCTTCCACGGCTTGCCGTAGTTGACGGTATTCGCAGCCACCAAGTACGGCAGCAGCCGCTCGCACTTGCCTCCGACCTTGTTCCACTGGACGTCCTTCATGCGCGCCCAACTGCACTCGACCACGGCGGCGCCGTACTGGTCCATGAGGTCGCGGTCGGCCGGAGAGACGGTGTGTTTGCCATTGGGGGTGATGATGACGCCATTGTGCCGCTGGCCGACGTGGAGGTCGCGCATCATGCCCATCCGGATCAACTTCTTGCCGGAGCACCGCTTGGGGTCGCAGTGGCCAAGGTCCCAGCAGGCGGCCTTGAAGGACGGGCGGGTGGAGGGGCCGTCGGTATCGTCGCCATCGCGGGGTTGGCGTTGTCGCGGCGGGCCTGAGTGGAGTTTGCGGCCCCGGGAGCTGAAGTTGTCTTTCTTATGGCGGACCATTTTGAAGAGTTGTGGTGGGATCGCAATGTGAAGGGATGGACTTTTTGCGATTCGTAAGGGTTCAATATTCCCTTGGGCGATTGAAAGTTTGGCGGGGTAGTATTGGAGGGGCAAATCTCAAAGTGACCATTAAAATAATTCAAAATGCATAACAAGGTTCGAATATGCCAGTAAGCGTCATATTGCCGAATGAGGTAAAGAAGTGTGGAAAGCCGCCCACAGGTCAAGCACAGGCCACCCTTTGGTGGCTCCTCCTCCCGCGCCGCCTGTCACTCAGCAGCCCCTCGTCACTCGGCCACAGATGCCATCGGTACCTATCACAGGGTTCATGAGGGATGCCTGCGCCGACCTAATTCAATCTGTCCAATTCGCAGGCGCTCGCTCGGCCAGCTATTAATTCTTTAAACGGTCAGTCCACCCACCCTCGGATGCGCTTCGCACCTTGAGAAATTTGGACGAACGACAAGATCCCCTCCCCCCCAGCCAGGTCGCCAAGATAGAGCTCCCTTACCTCCCCGCCCGAGGCTGCCCACGACCGTAACAACCGCAACGAAGACGATGGAGGCCGCATCAGCCAGAGCTGCGGCCCGAGACCGCTGGGGCGAAATGGGCGCTCCCACGCCGTCCCAGCTCCAGCGCTTCATCCAGGCCGCCTGCAGTCCCGAGAATTACGAGCCGAACCTCGCTCTGAACCTCGAGATTTCCGACCTGATCAATTCCAAGAAGGGTTCCGCCCCACGCGAGGCCGCTGTCGCCATCGTCAGCTACATCAATCATCGCAACCCCAACGTGGCCCTCCTCGCGATCAACCTGCTCGACATCTGCGTTAAGAACTGCGGCTATCCCTTTCACTTGCAGATTAGCACAAAGGAGTTTCTCAATGAGCTCGTCAGAAGGTTCCCCGAGCGACCCCCGATACGGGCGACGAGGGTCCAGATGAAGATCCTCGAGGCGATTGAGGAGTGGAGAAGTACGATATGCGAAACGAGCAGGTACAAGGAGGACTTGGGCTTCATTCGGGATATGCATCGTCTTCTGAGCTACAAGGGATACACTTTCCCCGAAGTCAGACGGGATGACGCCGCCGTGCTCAACCCTAGCGATGTGAGGCGATCCTTATCAAAACGTTGGCAGCGTTCCGGAGCTATACTGACGTGCATAGAACTTGAAATCTGCCGAGGAAATGGAAGAAGAGGAACGCGAGGCGCAATCTGCCAAGCTCCAGGAGCTCATTCGACGAGGTACACCCGAGGACCTCCAGGAGGCAAACCGTCTTATGAAGATCATGGCCGGCTACGATACTCGATCCAAGACCGATTACCGCGCCAAGGCCGCTCAGGAGGTTGCCAAGATCCAGGCCAAGGCTAGGCTGCTCGAAGAGAGACTCGAGGCTTTCCAGCAGGGCGACACGATGCAGGATGGAGATGTGTTTTCTGAGCTTGCTGCTGCTCTGTCTAGCGCGCAACCCAAGATCCAGAAGATGTGCGAAGAGGAGTCGGATGACCACGAGGCTGTCGCGAAATTGCTGGAGATTAATGACAGCATACATCGGACGGTGGAGCGGTACAAGCTCATGAAGAAGGGTGATCTTGAAGCCGCCAAGAAGGTGGCTAGTGGTGCGCCGCTGCCGTCGACCTCAGGTCCTTCCAAGAGTGCGGCGCAAGAGCTTTCTCTGATCGACTTTGATGGCGAACCCGAGACAACAAATGGCTCATCATCAAGTCAGCCGGCCTCGCAGCCAGCAGGCATTGAGAATGATCTTCTTGGTCTCTCCATGGACGATTCAGCAAGCTACGGCCAAGGGGGTGCTTTGACTCTGGGATTCGGAGCAAACTCGAGTATGTTGAACCAGAGTTTTCGTTGTTGACGCACCCACATACTGACCAAACTAGATATCCCAGGACCGGCGCTACTCTCTTCCGTTACAGAAAACAACAGTGCAAAGGGAACCATGAGCAACGCTGCAACACCCCAGCCACCATCCTTTTCGCAGTTTGCTTCTTTCACCTCTCCTTCAGCATCCCAATCTGGCACACCCCAGCCGTCTGGTATGTCTGCCTTCAAGCCACCCCAGCAGCAGGCTACAACCTCAAACGACCCCTTTGCCGCCCTCGGATCCCCCATCTTCTCTTCCAAGCCTGCTACCCCAGCCCCAGCTCCTGCCATAGCTCCCGTGCCAGCAGCGCCAGCTGCAAACGATGATGACGAATGGGCATTTTCATCAGCCCTCCCTCCTGAGCCCAAGGAGCACAAGGCCACCGTCAGTGACTCGACTGTCAAGATTGAGATGATTGCAGGAAGAACAGGGGAGTGGAATGCAATCAACCTGAGTTTCGCGTTCTCGAACAACTCTACGCAGCCCATCACGGAGCTCCACTATCAGCTCGCCGCCACAAAAGTCAGTCTTGCGCGTCTCTTTTTCTCCAATAGATCATCTTGCTAACACTTCACCAGGGTTACGAACTTGGTCTCAGACCCCAGACTGGGCGCGAGTTGGCTCCTAAGCAGAGCAGAGGCGTGACCCAGTTCGTAGAAGTATGGCATGCTGGGGACAAGAGCCGCAAGGTGCACTCCATCAAGTTGCGGTGGAGGATTTCTTACAAGGTTGGAGGGGAACCGAAGAACGAAATGGGTGAGATTACCGAGTTCAGCCTCGCATGATGATTCCGGGAGGAGTATGGAGAAGGAGAGTAGAAAAGGAGCGTCTTGAAGTGTTGGAAGAAGAGGCAGCGCAACTAGCGCTACGCAAAAGAGGTATAGAATCAGGGTATCTAACAATCTGATGAGCCATCAACCAGTAAATCCGTCTAGTAATTTTCTTCGTGGTGATGTAAGTCCCTCTCGCTTCTCTGATTGTCCCCACGTGCTCAAGTCCGGATGAAATAGCAATGGTCCAATGATTCCAGAATGAGGCAGTCAGTCCCTACCAAAGCCCCTACCTTCCTTCCCATCACAAGGAATCGAAATCAGGCACCATCAGAACGAGGTGACCGCCCTCCCTACCCTTTATCTATTACATCCCGTGCGGTTGTTCTCGTTGACAGTTGGGCGAGTGGTTCCAAAGTAGCGGCGTGAGAGCGCGGCAGTGAAACCGAATTTACAGACCCTCTTGTTCGCTACTCGGTGGAGGCAGCCCTGTGCGACCTTTGAGGCCTCAAATGGCCGGGTTTAGCACGCGAAGGGGCTAGTCCCGAATCGTTTTGTGATTTTGAGTGTTGATCTAGATTGATTTTTGTGGTTTTTGGAGGGATTCGAAGAGGTTGTGGTGATGGTGATTTATTTGGTGTTGTTGAGGCAGGTGGACGGTTTTTACTCTGATGTGAGGGCGGAAGCCGTGATGTTTTTTTTTCCTGTATTCGTGGTGGTGTTCATGTGGTGAATGCGTGGACGACGGCGGTGGTTGAGGATGGCCGGGCGGGATGAAGACGGGGTCGGAGTGGGGCCGTGTTGAACGGGGCACTACGGCGTGTGGGGGCCAGGTTTACCCTTAGCCGCTAAAATGCACGTCCGTCGCGGGATGACCTCAGAGCTCCCGGTGAAATTCCTACCTTCTCCATTGCGACTTGGATACAACATTGTCGACATTGCGAATTCAGAACAGTCACTGGCACTCCCGAGCTGCCCATTGCTTCCGCTCGAATTATCAGTCTGCGAGAGAGTCTCATTGCGCAGTGGAAACAGGAGCTTGAGCCTAACCACCGCTCCCGTAGTCAGCAATTGTGTAGGAGATTCCCACCTCCAAACCTCGCCTGGTCCCAAGTCAAAATCACACGAAAGGATGGGTTCCGACGAGGAGAACCGTGGCCAGCGATCACGACGCAGCCGCCACGACGACCAAGACGACGACGAAAGGCCGCGCCGAGAACGAGACACCGCAGATCGCGACAGCCACCGCCGCAGACGCAGCAAAGACCGGAGCGACAACCGTGACCGCGACCGCGACCGCGATCGCGGCTCAGACAGACCACCGCGCAAAGAACGACGAAGATCCCGATCCCGAGACAGACGCGAGACCTCCCGCCGCTCGCGCTCACCAGACCCCTCCACGCGGAAACGTTCCCGCTCACGAGGAGACCGCGACCGCAGCGATCGCGACAGACACAGGCGAAGGCGATCCCCCCACGCCGACGACAATGACCGCAGTAGCAGGGACAAAGACTCCCGTCGCCGCCGGCACCGCGACCGCAGTTCAGCCTCCGACTCGGAAGACGACGCCAACTCCAACTCCAAATCCACAAAACGCAAACGCCTAACCGCACCCACAAGCCCCATCCGCCGCACCGGGCCCCTCCCAGACCAAGACGCCTCCTTCGCCGTCTCCAAAGGCGAAGAACCCGAAAAGCCAAAAGAGAAACCAAACCTCCGCACAACAGGCCTCCTCGCAGCAGCCTCAAACTCAATCCAGCAAGCCGACGGCACCTCCATTGCGCTGAAATACCACGAACCCGCCGAGGCGCGCAAACCGCCCGTCCGCGACCAGTGGAAGCTCTTCGTCTTCAAGGGAGCCGACGTCGTCGACACGGTGGACCTGAACCTCCGCAGCTGCTGGCTGATGGGTCGCGAAGCAGCCGTGGTGGATTTCGCGGCCGAGCACCCGAGTATTAGCAAGCAGCACGCCGTGATCCAGTTCCGGCACGTGGAGAAGAGGAATGAGTTTGGGGACCGGATTGGGAAGGTGAAGCCGTACCTGATTGATCTCGAGAGCGCCAACGGGACGGTGCTAAATGGGGACAAGGTTGCCGAGAGTCGGTATTATGAGTTGAGGGATAAGGATATGATTAAGTTGGGGCATAGTACGAGGGAGTACGTTCTCATGCTGGCGCCGAAGGACTAGATACCAGAAACTGGAGATTTGCTGTGGCCGTGGGACAGCTTGCGACACTTGTGAGGTTGCGGGTCTTGGACACTGTAGAAGTATCGTTTGTCGTCAATAGAGACGAAGACCACCAATTTACAGTCACATGAAGAGATTAATCATGCGGTTGCTATAATTCGCTTTTGATCATACTCTCCTTATCAATCTCCGTGAAACAAAAAAATTATTGGCCTTGAAGGCCGCTTTAGAAGGATACAATAACTCAAACACCTTTCATTCTGTATCAACGCCAGCCTCTTGCCTCCCACAAACATTACTTTTGTCGCAAGCCTTGAAGTAAGACATGATTCAAACAAAAGACCACCGACCCAGCAATTGCATCCTCCATCATCGACGCCCCCTATAGTGTGGCTTGGTGTCCGAGTGTGATCCCTCCTAAGGCATACGCAGTCCCAGCCCTATGGGACTTGACTCTGGAGGAGACTCCAGGTCGGCCTCGCCAGTTCTGACCCGCTGTGAAAGCTCCACAGCTTCTTCATACCTCCGCTGGAGTCGATCATGTTCTGCCTGAACGCGCCGTCGTTCCGCCTCTTCCACGTTGACCGGAATATCGCCAAATGAGATGAGCCTACCATCTGTAGTTCTGATACCTCCGGACCCGGATCTAGACATTGGTTCGCTGCCGCCAGGGAGAGTCCGCGGGCTCATTGTGGGGCTTTCCCGTATGAAGCTGGGAACACGACCGACAGGCAGTCGACGAGGCATATTGCTACCTCCAAAGAGCGCCTCGTCGATGGGACCCCCTCTTTGCCTAATCGCCCACATGTCGTAAGAAACCCGGTCCATCTCTATCGGGGAAAGGCGCGGTGAGGGCTCCGTCTCCACCATGGACGGTGCTCGTCGATGAGGGAGACTTGACCTGACGCTCCCGCTGTTGCTGCTCAAAGGCGTGCCTGCTGAGCCAGTCGCTGTCGCATACCGAGGGTTTGAGCTTGGGTTTCTAGACATTGGCTGCGATGAATACCCATTTGGCGGCGGAGGGTTCATAGGACTTCCCGACCGATAGTTGTCTCGATATGAGCTAGGTGGGACGGGCCGCAACGGAGGCGGATATCCCACATTCTCGGCGGGAAAAACGTTCAGACTTGGGCGACCGAGACATGGATCCGACTGGGAAAGAACATCATCGTAAGACTCATCCTGGTATGTGTACGGTGGCTGGGAGGTTGACTGCCGATCAAGGGGGTGCTGTCGTAGACTATTCTGTTGATTTGTAACAACCGACAATCCGGAGGGAAATTGTGGTGGGTAAGCCGGACCCGGACTGGAGTTTGCTGTTCTCACGTCTTCTGGGTATGTGTATGGGAGTTCTTCCGACGATCTCGGAGCGGACGAGATCGACGAGCCGCTGGAGGAGACCTTCCCCTGAACAGATTTCTCGTGACGCTTATTCCCGCCGGCTGCTTTCCCAAGTCGCTTGAAGAAACTTTGAAAGGACGGTTTCGAAGTGGGTTCTTGACCTTGCGACTGGCGAGACGGTTCAGTCGGTTGAGACGCATTGCCAGAACCAGTTGACTTTGGAAATTGGTTTTCCTTCAACCTGAGGGCGGCGGAAGGCGTGTGGCTGTTCACAGTCTGGAGGCTATAGACGGACCGATCGTCGTAAGCAGCTGTCCTGTCGATTGTCGCGGCCCGTGAAGGTGGAGAAGCGAATGTAGGAAAGGAGGGCGTCTCCTCCTCGACCGCGGTTCCTGACACGGCCTTGGCGTAACTTGAAGCTCCGAGCATCGAGATTGGCCTTACAGATGTACCGGCACTGGAGCTTCTGCCCTTGTCGTGTATATGGCCACCGCCACGAGGTGGCGGTGGTGACCCCTTTTTGATGTGAAGGAGTTCGGCTTCAGCTTCGCTTCTTGCGGAAACCTTGGAGTGACTGGGTGATCTGCCTCCTCTGGAAGATTGAGGCGGGGTGATGAGGCCTCTTGCAGACTCCCGGCTAATGCTCACACGAGGATCGTTTATCGTTGCGGCAGTCTCTCTCCATGCCCCTCCACGATCATGATAACGCCTCAGTGACCTTTTCTTTACCGACCGGTGTTTGGTCACAACAGTCCACGGAACATCGGTCGTGTCCTCATATGGACCTTCTTCAATGTCGGGCGGGTATGGAGTTATGGTTCGATCCTCGGACCCCTGGTACTCGACTGAAGACGCCTGTTCATCCGCATAAGGCACATAAGGCATGTGGAAGTGAACCGGGTTATCCATTGGCCGCGGCAATATGTATTCTTGCTCCAACTGGAGCGAGTAGACCCCTGGTGATTGAGGGAGCACAGCGGCACCAGAGGCGTCTGTGGAATGTGACGATAGGCTGTTCATGCGCTCAAAGACAGAATTATGAGCAGCCTCATTTCCGTCGATGATTCGGGTAGATACAGTCCTCTGTAAGTCGTTGAGGTCTGCGGGTACCTTCGCAAGTCGTTCTTCCAAGTCTCTTCGAGCAGCGACAAGGTCCACGGGTCCGGTTCTATTCCTCAACGTTAATACTCTTCACTGAACTTTTCGTAGAGTAGTATCGAACGAAGTGAAATTGACGATGACAACGAGATAGCAAACAGATTGGATATCCGGATATACAGCCGTAGCATTTTGAGAGGATATCATTGCATGACAGGGGCTGCGACGGGGCTTTTAGATATTTTCCACTTACTGCGAACTGGGTTGCTCTGTAGCCTGATGAGTCGGACGGTCGACAGTATGGCGGTCAACAAGATCCTTCAGCCTTCTGCCGTGCCGAATATATTGTCTGTAGTCTTCAGGAAGACCAGTGGCAGGCTCATCGTTCATCCTGGTATAGGCCTCGTCGAACGACGCGCAGAAGACGCGGATGGCCCGTTCCAGCCAGAACTGCAGCTGCCCCTCCTTGGCAAGATGTTCAATAAAGAATGCTTGAACAATACTGTGCACACGGAGTGTATCTAAAGGCTCCGGAGCCGCGTCGTGACCGCTCTGTGAGCTTGAGGAAGAGACGTCATCGCTCTCGTTTCGTTCAATGAGGGCAAAACTTATCAAAGTAACGAAAGTTTGTGTCAAACTCCTTCTGCCCTTGGATGTTTCCGTTTTTACAGGTGTCCGCTTGTCCAAAGCTCGTAAACCAAGAGCCAGTAGCTCAACTGGTATAAATTGGCTGAAGAAGGAGAGGATGTAGATCAGATTCAACGCAGCGTGGTTACCACGGGTCTGCAACTGATCTCGAATCGCCATGTATGCAGGAAGCTCGCCAACTTTCGGCGAATCCCTAAAGGTCTTGAGATACTTTGCAAGCGGTTCCCGTGTGGTATTCATATTCACAGCAGCGGCATGAATCATCAGAGGGAGGCGACCCATCAGCTGTACCAATTCATGAGCCCGCCTGAGATCATCAGTGTTATACGGCTGTTTCTTTCCCATCTCTTCGAGCAACAACTCCTGTGCGTCTTGAATTGGCGGCAAAGGCAACTTCATCATGCTAGGGTTGTCAAGAAGATGAGACCCAGGATCGCACCGATCGGTCGAAGTGTAGATGAGACTGCTGTTTGGCCGGTCGGGTATGTATCGGAGAATGGCTTTGTCGTTGACGCGAATACCATCAAATACTAGCAGCCAATCGCTAGACTCGTTGAACCACCTTCTGACGATATCGACCATGTTGTGTGGGTTTAACAAGTCATTCTTATATCCTTGAGCAGCCATGCCCTTGATAGCCTGGGTCTTCGCGATGCGCCAGAACCCGTCTTCCATGTCTTGCAACGTGGTAGACCTGATCCAGTACACGCCCCCAGAATATTGGTCCTTGTGATTGAAGTAATACTCTCGAGCAAGATGCGTCTTCCCGACACCAGGAATGCCATGTATCAAAACCGCAGACGTCCCTTCTGAACGCCTCTTCGGGTCTTTCAACAGCTTGTGAAGATCTACGAGGTAGTCCTCTCGCCCTTTGAAAAACGAGTTGGGTCGGAATCGGTCAGGATGAACATGATGAGGACCGGAGTTCAAGATTTGGGGGGCAGAGTCAGAAACAGAAGCACATCGAGTGCTCGCCGTGTCAACAGGTGATGATTGTTGAGCTGCTGGAAGATGTCTATAGTCTAGATGCACATGTCAGAATGAAGATTCAGGATTGACCATCCATTTTCGGCATGGTAATTCCGAGAGAAGGGAATAATACCTGAAATGACAGTCTCTGAAGGACTGTTATACTCGCGAGTGATCTCGGCTGCTTCAGATTGTGCTCTAGCCTTCCTGTCGTCCAGTTCAATGTCCCAACGGGTTCGAATGACTGGCGGGGCTTCTTCTGCCCACGTCCTAATGGCGGTTGAAACGTTTCTGTATCCTGGAGCGCTGCTACTGTTGAACTTGCACATTCCGGAATGAGGGGCCTCGATGCCGTAGTAAACAACGCCTGGCAGTTGCGGACTGGCCGAACTCGCATCCACTACCGTCATCATCGTTCCTTTGATGTCGGTCTTGTGATTTTCATGGGCCATGTGGATCTTGAAACGCTGGTAAAAGTCGAGGAAGTGGCTATTGATGTTTTGCAGAGTCTCGTTGTCCTTCTTCAAGGTTTTGAGGAGGACCGACTCGCTCTCGAACATTTTTTTGGGTGCAATGGCGTCTGCTATGTTTTGCAAAACGACACCCCATGTTGCCATGCCAGATCCAGTGTGTGGCGTGCCCAGGAAAATGATTCCGAAGGTGGAAACGAAGATAGACCTGGCGTCCTCTTGGTTCTTGTCTCTTAGGTCGTTGGAGTACATGAGGGCACGCTTGACAAGAATGCCACCCAGGCTGTGTGCGACGAAGATGATGGGGTTCTTGTCTGTGTGTTCGCTCTTGCGATAGAGGGCGAGGTTCGTAACCAGGGTCTGAGCATGTTGGTAGATGAAGTTGTCACTTGCACTTGCACTTGCATGGCTTTTACTGGTTGTATAGACGTCTGCGTTGTAGCCATAGACCAAGATATTGGCACGGGTCTTTCCCAGGGATTGCGGCAGTAGATCTGTGGGCCAGAAGACACCATCTTCATGTTGAGACGAAGGTGAAGGTGAGGTCCATGTGCTTTTGGGGTGCCCGTTTAGACCATGGACCAGGACGATATCGACGGAGGCGTCAGGATGAGTGAAGACAGCAGTGATTTCGTAGCGTGCAACTTGCTTATTGATGGACCCCTGTGGCAGTCAGTATCACGAACGTGTATTCATTTTGAAATTTGTCGGCAACAACAAGAAAGGAAGAGACATGACAGGCGAGAGAAGCAGAAGGTAAGGGAGAAGGTAAAGGGGGGGTGACAAGGATGCTGACGAGCATAGCGGCGGGCCGTTCCGTAATACAAACAGGAGGGGAATGAGATAAAAGCTTACCATACTTGCATGCTCGAGTCCGAGTCAGCAGCAGGGGGGGCTCTCTAGCGATTGCTTATTTTCTTCCTTCCCACTAATGCAGCTTGGTGTTCTACAATTTACTGAGGCTCGCAGGCTTCGTTGACTTTGCGGCTCAAAGTAGAGTCAAGGTTGGAGGTGGAGGGGCCGTCTTTATAGTGGAAACCCTCCGCCGCCTGAACGTAGAAATCTAAAGCTGAAAGCCAAGATGAGGCGGATAAATGTTGCGCGTCGAGTTGGCCAAGTAGGTACCGTCCAGTGCCTCGTTCTCAAGTCCTCGGCAGGCGCAGCGCCATAAGTAGGCTGCGAGAGTTAAATAACGTAGAAGGCAGATAGGCCGGAGATGTCCTGGTGATGGAGTGTAGCACGCCGGGCGAGTTGGTCACACTGGAGCCGCGGTTAAGCCCGGTGGAGAAAAGAAGGGAAGAGATATCACGAGCCACGGCGGAGACGGAGAGAATCCAAGTGATGATCAAAGACAGGAAAGAAGAGACATGGTCCAGCTTGAAGACTCAAGGGGTACTCCGTAGGCTTGAACAGAAGGATGTTCCGTTGAAGGGGTGTTCAGTTGGGACCATTGCGTTGTGATGGATAACGGAACACCTGTTGTGAAGTGCCCCCTGCCAGGATGATTTCGGGAGGTCAAATTAACCCCAGAATGCAACAGGGAAGGCAGTTTGGGCAGTTTGGGGGAAGGATTCGAAGATCCATTGGTGCCCTGGCCTTGCTAGTTTGATACTATAGTCACGTCACGGCACATCATCTGCAGGTGCGAGATGGCCGGGGTCCTCCACTATCGATGCAACGACGCCTCACCCGCCTTCCGACTTTGAAGGCACACGCACAAGTCCACGACATCCCAAGGAAGAGATGGAGAAGAAGGAAGAGGAAGAGGAAGAGGACGATAATGGAGGGCGGCAACGACGCCGCTAGACACTTGCCGTTTTGAAACATACAAACGGCGCCACCGATTTCGTCTCTCTTGCTCTTTCGCTCTGCTCCTTTCGTTCTGTGTCTCTGACATGCCTGTTTCTATCCATCTCCATCCTTCCCGCAGCCCGCAGCCCGCAGCAAAGCGAGAGACATTCGCTCGCCTCTGTGCTGTTTCTGTCATGTCGTCCAGAAGCTCTCGTGAGAGTGATGGCTCAACTTCCAGATTTGCTGCATGGCAATTGTCGCGATCAGCCAGGCGCTTGGTCCAGGCCGCGTACAACAACAACAAGCAACACGACGAGTATGCGCCCGAAAAGACAGTGGAGTGTACTGCGAAGTCGACGGCGCCGCCGCCCTGTCACTTTCGTATCGATTTCGGTGAAGGCCCAGGCGCAGGCGACGAAAGAGAGTGGCAACGTAAGCGGCAACGACTGTCGTGATAAAATGTTGACTCACCCTGCTTCGCTGAAGCTGAGCCGCTGAGCCACTGAGCGGTCCACCACCCAAGAGCGAATGAGGAGACATGGAGTCCTATTTGGGGCGAAGAATCAATTGCCCTTGCTCTATGGCGATGCGCGAATGTGCTGCACACACCAGGCTGGTCTGATGACTCAAAGAGAAGAGGCCATATCGAAACAACTCTCAAGCTCAAGCACCCACAATATCGTTGAGATAAGGTACGTATAACCAGCCTAACGCAAGCCACTGTTTTGTCTCTCTGTCTCGATCCCGCCACTACAAGATATGCATCATGCAGCGCCGATATGGCCGCTTGTGTTCTTAGTCTCTGCTCTTAGCACAGCACGGCCCGGGCATCTTGGCACATGTAACTTGCTCTAAAGCGGGTGAACCTCGAAAAAGGATCGGTGGTGGGTTCCTGTGACACAACGCGACGCCTTCTATTATCTGACACTTTTTGACATCCTGACGACAATACAACATTGAAATTTTGGTTTCCCGACTCTCAATAGACCTCACACGACTTTTTGCTCCGTCAGATACGACTCTCGAGCAACACGGACATGGCCGCATCACCTCTCATGGTACCCAACGCCATCCGATGATACGGTGAAGAATCGGACAGCTGACCTGCGACAAGTGGACCTCCCTCCGATTATCGTGAGTCCGTGACGCCGTCTTGACTCAGGACGGCGCCTACGATCTCTCAACGGCTGCCATCGGAACCGGTTCACAACGCCAACACTTAACTACTGCCTTGGTCAAAAGGGACAACTACGGAAACTGAGACTTTTAGACCGCTCCTTTCGGCTTCATTACGAAATGCAAGCGCCTGGTTTCCGTGTTCCCGTTGCAGCCCTTCCAGACGAAGCCCTGTGGTATGTCGCTATTTCCGGGCTGGGCGTACAGGTAGCCACTAATTCTTCAACATTGCAACCCAGAACACGGCTTGTTTTGGTCGGGGCAACGGAAGTAAAATTCATATTTGTGGGAATCATGGCAAGGGTGACGTTTTGATGTCGATCCCCTCCTCATCGCGCCATTTATCCCAGCGGTTTGACTTACACCGAATATTGAGTATCACAGAGTTTCCTTGCCTCATAGCTGAAGTTCCTTCTCTTTCATCCGAAACCACTATGAGACGAACATGTTTGTCAAGTGGCTGGCACTCTGGCATTCACTTCGGATCAGAGTTTAGCCTCGCTTGAGTCTGCCTATCAGAGCACATAAACACGCTGTCTTTCAGATATTTCGAGGTCACTATCCACCGTATGAACCCTGTCAATGTATCACGATTCTTAAAATGAGTCAAGGATGCAACATTCTGCGGTCCTCGATAGCTCCTGAAGTATGGGCGTGAACGCCTTTAACAAATCAAGGTTTGATGTTGCGTCTGCTAGGTTGCACAGAGCTTTGTGAAGACGACGGCGACGTTCCTGAAAAGCAAGTCTCCTAATTATGAATCTCTTTCCCATAAACAGTATGGGAGTGTCCTTGAGTCACGTTACAGTCACGACGCCAGAAAGTCTTCTTCGTAAGCGCACAAGTGTGAGTTGTGCACGATCCCAACAGTCCGGATAAGCCATCAAGGTTTTGGTACGGGCTCTCGTGCTACAGACGACTCGGAAAGTAAATTGAGGCAACATGACACGAAACTCTGAATTGGCGAGATCGCTAAAGCAGCGGTTAGCATAACATCTTTTCCTATTCTTTACACGATTCGCTAAATCACTTCAACAACTCCACAAATCAAGTCCAAGAGGTAGGCAAGGGAGACATGTGCTATCACATGAATTGGTTGTATCTGTTACTCGCGGCAAAATAGACTTGAAGCGAGGCCTTGACTTACATCGACGGTGAAGTTCTCGCTGAACTTTTTAGCAACATGACGCCTTACACGAAGTCCGTGATACGCCAAAAGCTTGGACCATTTCTCTTGCAACTTACCAACCAAGTACCAACAGCCACACATCTACAACTCTCAGTTCACAATATTCCAAAACAACAACAACCAGAAAACCAAAACCCCAATAATCACACCCGTACTCACAATGCCACCCTTCCCAGCACCCGAATTCGCAGGCACAGGCGGCGCCCAAAAGTAGCCCGCCTCAGCCTGCTCACTGGCACCGTAAATAGCCCACTGCACATCGACATGGTTCTGCCGATTCGCCCAGCAATACATCATCCCGCTCGCGCCAACCTGGCCTGCGACATCGTAATCCCGCACCGCGGTGCGAACCACCTCCGCGACGTCCACGCCGCCGACATACCACCCCGTCATGATGCGCGGTAACGCGTCCGCGTAGGGGGGTTTGATGCCAAAGGTGCAGGTGCCGTGGGAGCGGATGCCGAGGATGGTGGTATTGTCGACAAAGCCCTTTGCGTACCAGACGTAGCGCTCTTTTGCCGCGTCGTCGGCGAGGTCGAGGCAATCTTGGGTTAGGGGGGATGTGGCGCGGGTTATGCCTGTGAAGGAGGAGGCGCCGCAGACTTCGTCTTCGTAGAGGCGGTTGCCGCGGTAGAAGGTTGGGCTGCTTGGCGGGACCCAGACGAGGTCGTTTTTGTCTGGTGTTTGGAGGGTGGAGATGTTGCTGGGGAGGGTGCCGGAGGGGGATGGGGCTGGGTGAGGTGGAATGTGGTAGGTTATGTTTGTGCTGTTTGTGTAGTTTAGGAAGTTGGGGATGAATACTGTGAGGGCCGGTGTTATGTTGGCGAGGGTGAGGAGGATGATGGGGAGGGATGTTAGCTTGGTCATCTTTCGTGTGGAAGTTTACCTGGACTTTGGTAGAAGTCGTGATGTTGATTTCGGAGGGTGAGAGATGGATGAACTGTGCTCGTTAGTCGAGGTTGGCGTTGAGGTATACTTACAGGTTTTGATGGTGGAGAATAGTGTCGATGTCTAAGTGATAGAGGAAATGGTGTATTGTTGTGGGGTGTTTGTGTGTGCTGTCTGGTCTGTCGAGAAAGATCCCAAAACGAAAGCCTCGGACAGGACCTTTGGTTATGTAGTTCAGCCTTCGAGGCATTCTAGTGGAACGCCTCAAGCTCGTTGTGAACGCGAAGAAAGACTTATTGCGGTCAGACAGGAGACTGAGCAGCTATCATGTATAAAGAAAGACAAGGCTATTGTGAAGTAAGCATGGACAGACAGTATGGCTGGAGACTTTAGAGTCTTTTAAGTCGAGAACAATGCTTCACAACGGCTTTAGTGCTTCAAAGAACACTGTTATCGAACCAAATTTGTCTTCTTCCTTGTTGGTACCAGATTGTCACAACTGGCTTCGTGGCTAGTTTTCAATGTCTCAACGCCACAAACAGGGCGCAACGGCTATTCAAACATCGAGAGAGCACAGAAATTAGAACACATATGATTGCTTGTCAACGTGTTGATTGCATTGAGCGATTGACCGCGTTGAAGCAGTCAGCTACCTAAAAATGGCCGCAGTTGAGAACGCCACCCCCAACTCCCGCCTCCAGAATTTTTGGTTTACCCTTCCCGGTATTTGTTTTTCCGCTTGAAAAGTATTGCAACGCCTATGTAAAATGCAGCAGTGCTCTTTGAAGCACCATTTTCCCTTTGTTCATGAGCCATGTTAAATGTCATGCGCGAAACCCGGACCCCCTTTTGACGATTTGGGTCGCCCCACGCTTATTCCCTTCTGAACCATTTTTGTTGAACTGGGCCTAATCAAAGCCCAGAGTGGTATATATCGATTCCCTCCCTTGATCTACTCTTCTTTCCACGTCGCGCTCCCTAGCATACGTGGACTACACTAGTCCCCGCATTTCGCTGGCATGATTTAGATGCCAGCGTCAACGCGCCAGCCCTCGACAGGGAGGGGGAAGCTGCCGCTCCACTCGGCAACCTCCTTGCGGAGGTCGTTGATCTTGGCAACCTGGCCGCCGGCGACGGTGGCCTTGAAGTCCTTGAGCTTGTTGGCCTCCTTGGGCAGGGAAGCCTGGACCTCCTTGCAGATCTTGATGGACTCATCAATGTAGTTGGCGACACGCTCGAAGTCGGCCTCTCCGAATCCACGGGAGGTCATGGCGGGGGTACCGATGCGGAGACCGCAGGGGGTAAGGGCGCTCTTGTCGCCGGGGATGGAGTTCTTGTTGCAGGTGATGTTGATCTGCTCGAGAACGGCCTCGACACGGGCACCGTCCAAGTTGAACTGGCGAAGGTCGACGAGGACCATGTGGGAGTCGGTGCCGTCGGCGACGAGCTTGTGGCCGAGGGCCTTGAACTTGTTCTCAATCGCCTTGGCGTTGTCAATGACCTTTTGCTGGTAAGCCTTGAAGTCGGGGCTGGCAGCCTGCTTCAGGGCAACGGCCAGGGCAGTGATGGTGTGGTTGTGGGGGCCACCCTGGTGACCGGGGAAGACGGAGAAGTTGATGGGGTTCTCGAGGTCGTAGAGGGTCTCCTGGCCCTTGGCGTTGACGGAGCGGACGCCCTTGCGGAAGAAGATCATGGCACCACGGGGGCCACGGAGGGACTTGTGGGTGGTGGTGGTGACGATGTCGGCGTACTCGAAGGGGGAGGGGATGACGCCGGCGGCAATGAGACCGGAGATGTGAGCCATGTCGACGACGAGGTAGGCACCGACGGAGTCGGCGATCTTGCGCATGCGGCCGTAGTCGATCAGACGGCAGTAGGCAGAGGTACCGGCGACGAGAACCTTGGGGCGGAAGAGCTGAGCGTTCTTCTCGAGCTGGTCGTAGTCAATGATGCCAGTGTCGAGGTTGACGCGGTAGGGCATGGTCTCGAAGTAGGTCGAGACGGCAGAGATCCTGTTGGGAACGAGAGTTAGCTATCTCTCTTTGATTGAGCGTCACAACCGTATGGTAACATACTTCTTAGCGGGGGTCTGGTAGCCGTGGGACAGGTGACCACCGTGGGGGAGGTCGAGACCCATGAGGCGGCCGTGAACGGGCATGATGGCCTGGTAGACCTGGAGGTTGGCGGGAGAGCCAGACAGGCACTGGACGTTGACACCCCACTTGGAGGAGTCGAGGTTGAAGGCCTTGAGGGCACGGTTCTGGCAGAGGATCTCGATCTGGTCGATGTGCTCGTTTCCACCGTAGTATCTGGCACCGGGCTGGCCCTCGGAGTACTTGTTGGACATGGGGGATCCAAGGGCATCGAAGACGGCACGGGAGGTGACGTTCTCAGAGGCAATGAGAATGATGGACTCGCGCTGGCGCTTGATCTCGTCCTTCATGATCTCGGCGACCTCAGGGTCGGAGTCGATGAGAGACTTCTCCAACATCTATCGGTGAGTCAGTATATAGGCCTATAAGGCATGGCGGGGCAGAAAGAGTAGACGTACCTCCTTGTGGGAGACGGGGAGGGAGTAGGAACCAGTAGCAGCCATTGTGATGTGTGGTGTTACGAGGGATCGTAGATGTGAAGTTGAGGAAGAGAAGGAAGATGAGTTCTCGCAAGCAATGGCAAGGAGAGAAGTAGATGTAGGAAAAGAAGAGGAAGAGAGGGAGGCCAGCAAGGTTATGAAGGGATGGGAAAAAAGCTTGAGAAAATTTGGCAGAACATCGGAGGGAGCAAAATGTGAATCGAATGCTGAAGCGGTGGGGGTTGGCGGGGTGTGATTGGCGGGGTCGAGCTGTAAGTACCTTACCACCTTACGCAGTGCGCGGGATTTGGAGAAAGAAAAAAAAAAGCTGTGGCGGACCCCTCGATAGTCGACTGATCAGTGATGGCTTGACAATGGACAAGCACCACCGCTACAGAGTACCTTATGGCAGGGACAATTCGGAGGCATTTGGTTCGCTAAATTGGGATCGCTCGACAGTTTGCGACAGCGAGCTTGGAGTACTTTGGGCCTTTGGTGGGCTCGCTGTGGTTCCCGGTGTGGCTCACCACTTTGTAAGTGGTTCCCGGTTGGAACGCTAAAACAGCGCTTCCCTGACGTTCCCTGAACTCACATCCTGTGGCGGGTCTTGTCGACTCCGATTCTGGAACGGTCCCACGAGTCATCGAGGGAAACGGACCCCATTTCACAACGACGGGGGGTGCAGTTGGACCGTTTAGCTGCTCGTGCCTCCCCCGCCTCAACCGTCTCAAGACTCGAGAGCTTCAGACAAGTACGGAGTGCAAGGCTTCGGGTGAGCCGGGACAAACACGAGCGGACCACTTGTGGCAATTGAATTGTGACTCAATATCAGTCTCATAGTCAGTCCCCGAAAAGAATGGCAATTCGCACGATTTCTCTCAATTGGTGTGCTTCGGCGGTGAGTTCCCAGCCACCTCGTTCTCGATAAATTGGGGGAAAGAAAGAAAGTAAGGGCCTTTTTTATGTCGAGAAAATCACCCGAGAAAGAAGAGTCATTCTTGAAACAGACAGCAGCATTCATTCCGTCTCCGCGCGTAGCTACAGCTTCCACAACGTATGGAAGCTCTGTGCTTGAAACGCCGTAGTCAGCAAGGCAGGCCTGCCTTTTGTTACTTGTGAGAACCATTCATCGCAGCGTCGATGCAGAACCACTATTATTACTGTCTACATCAAAGACCGCATGAAGTGACAGTTGCGATGTCGGCGAAAGGTGAGAGAGTCAAGACGGTTGCATTTCTCCTAGCTCATTTCAAGAGCCTCTGTGATTGGCCAGTGTTTGAATCGCAACTCTAGATAATTCAAGACTTTTCACATCAAACTCTATGCGGCTTTGACGTGAACCATGGGATTACTGCTTTGAGTTGAGACTATTGCAAAGTGTGACTTGGGCCAACACTGAGGTAATTGTGACTACCTACCTGCGTGCAGTTTAGTCCGTCTCCAAAGCGCATTTGGCACGAGAGAACCTGGAAGGCCTCGATCCCTAGCTCAACAACATGGGTCACGCTCTGCTCTTGTGAAATGCTGACTCATCTGGATCGCATCCACATTGGCCCCGAGCTCCGAGACAGTCTACTCCCGGTCCGTACGGAGTACCTAGTGGAGGATGCTCTGGCCTCAGGTACCAAGGCGCCAGCCCAGACACAGGCACCTGGGCTCCCAGGCACGCCTCGAATGCAGGGTGCTAGAGCCTAGAGCAATAAGGTAAACAAGTCAAGCTTGGCCCACGGATACCCGAGTGAGAGAGAGTCAGGGAACCGGTTACCGAAGGCGAGCTGAGCTATCTTGCCTTATCTCATCAATCCACCTCGTTGCGTGATGTCAGGGTCCCCGTCGCAATGTTATCCCGCTGCTGACACTCCGGAACCCAGCGCGCAGCGCTCAACAGTGCATCTCTCCGGCGCAGGATCGACTGCGCTGCAAACCGAGTGCACAATGGCTTCGGGGTGTAGAAGGCTGCAGGGACACGCGATCAGACACGCAAGCTCCGTAGTGGCAGCCGCATCACTCTGCGAGTGTGAGAGGACGGAGACGGGAGCAGTGTGAGTGTCAGTGTCACCGAGTGTATGAGAGCTGCCAGGAGCTCTGTCTCGGGCTTCTAACTCGCTGCGTGCCTTGGGCGAGTTGGGGCAGCTCCGCGCCGTCTTAGGTTCCATGGTTGCTCCCCCAGCCAGCTAAAGTGGGTCTTTCGAGCCAACCCCAGCTTTTGATAGGCAGATAAGGTACCTGCACCTATCGGGTGCTGCGTCATGGTCCTTCGTGCCTTGCGGAGGCGAGTGGGCAGGTTGTCACGGGGGCGCAGTTGCTAAGGTAAGTCTGGGTAGCCTGCCACACCTGCCAGTGCCACAGCAAAGGTACCTACCTACTTAATAGGTACAGGCGCCGCCCCAGCTTCCGCATCTTCCCCCCGTCAACACATCATCATCCCCCCCCCATCCGTTTCAACCGCCATCTCCTCAGTATCACCAGCACGAAGACGCAGGGCGCCAACACCATCGTAATCTGGGTAATCGAGGTTGACAGCCACGATGAAGAGCACTCTCCTCACCGCGGCCGTGCTGTTGGGCGCGGCCCAGGCCGAAGTCCACAAGCTGAAGCTCAAGAAGGTCCCCATCGAGGAGCAACTTGTACGCTGAACCCATCGCCTAGCATCTCCGCAACACTGTTTACTGACTGCTTATCCTTAGAACTCCGTTCCTATTGAGCACCAAGTCAGACAGCTCGGCCAGAAGTACATGGGCGCTCGCCCTGACAGCCATGCCGATGCCATGTTCAACCAGAAGCCCTTCACAAGCACTGGCGAGCACCCCGTGCCCGTGAGCAACTTCATGAACGCTCAGTGTATGTTCCATTCATTTTCTTGTCAATCACCATCAGTGAACTAAGTTTTGCACTTCAGACTTCTCCGAGATCGAGATCGGTACTCCTCCCCAGACCTTCAAGGTTGTCCTAGACACTGGTAGCTCCAACCTGTGGGTTCCTTCCCAGCAGTGCGGCAGCATTGCATGCTACCTGCACTCCAAGTACGACTCTTCGTCGTCTTCCACCTACAAGTCCAACGGCTCCGAGTTCGAGATCCACTACGGCTCTGGCAGCTTGACTGGTTTCGTCTCCCAGGATGACGTCTCCATTGGCGACCTCAAGATCAAGAAGCAGGACTTTGCCGAGGCTACCAGCGAGCCCGGCCTTGCCTTTGCCTTCGGCCGCTTCGACGGTATCCTCGGTCTTGGTTACGACACCATTTCCGTCAACAAGATTGTCCCTCCTTTCTACAACCTCGTTAACCAGAAGGCTATTGACGAGCCTGTCTTCGCCTTCTACCTCGGAGACACCAACGAGGAGGGTGACGAGAGCGAGGCTACCTTCGGTGGCCTCGATGACTCTCACTACGAGGGCAAGATCACCTACATTCCCCTCCGCCGCAAGGCTTACTGGGAGGTTGACCTTGACGCCATCACCCTTGGCGACGAGACTGCTGACCTCGAGGGACACGGTGCCATCCTTGACACCGGTACTTCCCTGAACGTCCTTCCCTCTGCTCTTGCTGAGCTGCTCAACAAGGAGATCGGTGCCAAGAAGGGTTACAACGGCCAGTATTCCGTTGAGTGCTCCAAGCGTGACGAGCTTCCCGACATCACCTTCACTCTCTCTGGCTACAACTTCAGCATCTCCGCTTACGATTACGTCCTGGAGGTCTCTGGCAGCTGCATCTCCACCTTCCAGGGCATGGACTTCCCCGAGCCGGTCGGCCCCCTCGTTATCTTGGGAGACGCCTTCCTCCGCCGGTGGTACTCCGTTTACGACCTCGGCAAGAACACCGTTGGTCTGGCCAAGGCTAAAAAATAAACGCCTACTCAACCCCCCCTTTCCTTGAGAATACGTCGATTACTCGGTCAATCAGATTCAGGGTGCGGCTGTAATGTAACTACGATAGGTAGCTAGTCTGGACACCGTTGTGAGAATACCAATAGTAGCATTTTTCTTCGAGCATCTGTCTTGTCGTGTATCTTTCATGTCAAATGGGGTCTACTTCTCAAGGAGTCGTGACTACATTGCTGTGATTCATAAAGTTGCAAGTTCATGTTGTGGATATACAATAGATCACATTGTAAATGAACTGAGTGCTCCTGTAATATTTGAAAGAAGCTTCAACAAGCTACCCTCTGCATAAACTCTGAGTTGAAATGTTCAGCGTACCAACTGTAAAGGTACTTCACCTCAGTACTCCTAATCAAAAGGCAGTATCCGTACTCCGGAAGTCACCAAGGTGTAAGCGTAACGTGGAACCCACTCTTGCTCTGCACGGACCAGATCATCACGTGGGTAATGAACCCGCTTATTCGGATCGGCAGGCCAATCGCTGCTGGCCTCAGCTCAGTGCCTTTTCGCCAGCAACCAACAAGGACCCGTGGTTCTCTCTAATTTTCCAGTACAGCCTCCCGACAGTCACGCAGGGGAATTGCTCCAGGAGCATTTGCAAGGCGAAAAAAATCCTAAAACGGCGACTTTGATGGACCCCATTCATTTTCCGAGTACCGTTGCTTGTCTTTGAGTGTGTTCTTGGATGAAAAGGTTCCCCAACACGCCTGGCCTCGCGACGCTTGACGAAAAAAGGTTTTGGAGTTCCACCAGACGAGCGACCGACGAACCTCGCGCGTCGCGACAATCCCGCCCTCCACTGGGCTACCGACCACCCCCGTCGTCCCGCGCGACATCGACAGAACGAACCGCCCGAAACGCCCTGGCATCGCGACAATTCCTACCGATAGCCACAACCACGATCCCCGACGACGATTTTCACAATGGCGCAGCCGGATTCGGTCCAGGCAAACGGCATCCCTGGACCGGACCATGCTGAGTCCCCCCAACCCGTCGTCCCTGTCAAGAGGAAGCGCGACACCGAGGATGAGGGCGACGAGGTCAACGGCGACGGACCCGAGAAGATGGAAGTCGACGCTGAAGTCCCAAAGGAGGATCATAAACCCCTCATTCAGAACTATTTCGCTGTTCTTAGCAGGTACGATTGCCGCGCCCCCTTTGCGCCCTTGGTTGCGCCCTTGGTTGCGCGCCCATCCCCCTTCATCAACTCCGAGGCCGCATTGTACTGACATGCAGTCCAAAGCTTCGATGCAAACCCATCAATTTTGAAGCGTCGCCTTCCCGAACCCGATGCGGAACAGCCCGACGCGAAACGCCAAAAGTCCGCCGATAGCCCTGCCACCATCGCCGACAAGGTCAGCCACGACTCGTACTCGCATGTTGACGAACTTGCGGCCGACGTCGTCGAAGCCGTCAAGGATCAACTGCAAGAACTTCAATCGGCCAAGGTTGAGAAGGACAAGGAGGTCATTGATGGCGGCGCTGTGGTGCAGACCAAGGAGTTCCAGCAGAAGGCAATGGACCTCCTTCGAAGGGAGATATCGTACCCACACAGCGCTGTGAACGTCAGCAACGTCAAGCCAGTCCCAGAAGTCACTCCAGGTAACGCTGTCTTGACAGTCGTTGGCCTCGGCCCTCACGGCAAGCAGCTCTTCTCAAGTCTGCCCAAGAAGGTTCCAGGACAAGAGAGCTCCGCTGCAAAGGCATCATCATTGGAACTTCCTTTGGGCATATCGAAAACCTACATTGTTCCTTCCCGACAGAGCGAAAGATCAGCCACTCTTGGGGAGCTGTTTTCCTCGAGCAGACCCCTCCCTCCACTGCAGCCGCCCAAGCAACCGAAGCAGCTGGTCAAGGGAAATGTCCTCGGTTTTTACCATCCCGAGCCGGCGCAAAAGTCCAAGTACTACAACGAATCTTATTCTAGCAAAAAGGTCGCAGTCGGCTGCTACTTGGACTACACCAATGCGGCACCCTCGTCCAAGAGTAAGACCAGACAGCGCGAACGCGCCCAAAGTCTTGCAGGCCACCGACCTTCGTCTACCGAAATCGAAGTGAACGAAATGGAGTCGTTGTTTCGCAGCGCGTTCTCCAGCTTCGCGCCCTGCAGAGATGATTCTGGCTCTGTCGTTCCGTCCAGCCATGCTGGTCGCATGTACTGGCAGCTTACTGGACAGCGAAACTTCAACCGCCTCATTGAGTCGGAGTTGCAGGAAGTCGATGATGACGATGACATGCTCGAGAACCACGTTGGAGACAAGATGGTCGAGACCGGGGACGTGGACGAGGAGTTTGTCAATGAGGCGATTGAGAAGTGGGATGAATGGCTGGTGGACCCGGCGCTGGAAGACATGAACGATGTCCTGTCGAAACCCAAGGATAAGGACCCCGCCGACAAGGAGGTCGACGAATTCCTGGATGAAGTCACCGACATGATTGAGACCTTGCTGTCGTACCAGCGCATCCGCAACCTCACCTTGCCATCATCACAGAATCGTTATGCAGGCGATCCCGTCAACGGCGACTTGCTTTCTCACGGTGCTGTCTCGGCACCAACGGAAGAGGAGACTATGACGTACGAAGCACTGAGGGCTCAGCTCAGTCTGATTGTCGGCACTCTTCCTCCCTACGCTGTGGCTAAACTCAATGGTGACCAACTTGAGGAGCTTCTCATCAGCACCAAACTCGAGGTCCGCACAGATCAGTACAAGGGTGTCATGGAGGACGATGCCGCAACGCAAGCCCGGATGCGTCAACAGCAAAGTGCTGCCACTTCTACTCCCACGAACCGGCCTGCCCCTCACCGGACACCTAGTGCATCCACTCCCTACAACGGCCAATACGCGGCGGGGCAGTACGGAACCCCCACCCGAACGCCTTCACTCGCGCCTACCAATTACTACCGATCGGGCCAGCAACCCGCCATGCCCCCGCAACAAGGTTCCGTCCCTCGTCCGGGCGGCGTACCCCACCAGATGCCTCATGCACAGCAGCCCCGTCCCGGTCAACCGGGCAATTACCGGGCCACCAATGGATACACCAACTATGCGCAGCACGTCGGAAAGGCACAAACACCGTATGGCCACCAGGGTGTGCAGTATGGCTCTCAACAGCGACCTCCCCAGTACTCTGGGTATGCAGGCACGCCTTCACACGGCACGCCCAATGCTCGCTTCCAGCAGCCCTACCAGCAGTCTTTCCCGCAACAGCCGAGCACGCCGTCCCAGGGCTACGCAGGTTACTATGCTAATGGTGCTAACAACATGCAACCCCGGAACATGTCGCCTCAAGTACCGGCTGGTCAGTACAATTCGCCAACTCCACACCAGCAGCAGCAACGGTACTATGGATCTACTCAACAACACCAAAACGTGCCTGGCACCCCTCCGATCAACCGTCAGCATTATCCGAATGGTAGTCACCTCCCTCAACAACCTATGAATTCTCTGACTGGATACAATACAGCCGTTGCAAGGACAGACCAGCAGCGCCTCCACGCCGAGCAAGCGAGATATAGAGCCGCTGCACAGCAAACGAGCGCAGCTTTCGGGACCAAGATCCAGGGCACACATGAAGGCAACAACATGACCCCAGCTCCCATCGACGACCCCAACGGCCAAGGGTCTCCATACAATGCCAACATGCGAGCGCGTATGGCCGCAGGTGGTACCCCGAAGCCGCAGAGCCCTGTCGGTAGTGTAGGAAAGCCCAACGGAACTCCGCCAATCCCACACAAAGTGACCCCGGTACCCATTCCGGTTATACCTCAACAGCAGCAAAGAAAGCCAAACTAGCAATATGGTAAACCTCAACTGCCTTCGCAGGGTCCACCCCCGCCGCCGCGGGTTCCAGTGTCCAGGCGACCTTCGGGAGAGGCCACAGCACGAAACGGTCGTCAGAAGAAGACGCCCTGTGCCACGCCTCCGTCTCAAGCGGTGCAACATCCACCGCGGCCCGGATCAGCAAACAAGTGATACCCACGACCTCCATCTCAGTCGGCCGTGGTGTATCTTGCGTCAACAAAATGCCGATTTCCATTTACTCTACGGTGTCTGAATAGCCAGGGAAGCGATGTCCTTTCGGAGTTGGTGTGTGAGAGAGAAAGGGACTATTTTTTCTTTCAAATCGCGTCCGCGACTCAGACAGCAGGTTTGCTGTGTTGAGCGACGCAAAAGGGGTGGCCTGATTGATGATGAATGGATGGGTACACAGGGAAGAAGTTGCATGAGAGATGTTTCTCTGTTCGACCAACAACCATCTGGCTCTTGGCGTTCTGGCCCCTGTGTTATTAGAAAGTTTTCGGAGGAGAGTTGACAAAAACTCAGTAGATGATCGCCAGAAAGGGCGGCTCTTTTTTTGTTCTTTTACGGGTAGGGTCGGTGTGTGTCGACATGGAAGAATCAAACCATGGGAGAGAGAGGTTTTGTGCCACACTGGCACAGCGTGGAAGGAAGGTCTTTGCTTTTCCTCCTTTTATTGTTTTCCAATGAAACCAAATGCACAACAGGGGGAAAGGTGGGGGTTTCGCGAAAGGGGAGGAGGGAAATGGAATCATGGTCCTTTTTTATCAACCTTGGCTCGGGAACGGTGGAAAGGGGGGAAAGGGGTTTGGCTCCATGTGTATAGAGTGATTCGAGTAGCCAACACTTTGTATCCTAATCAAAAACTAGTGGCATTTGCGTCAATGATGCTGTGTGCCTTGGTGTGTTTCGTGAATGCTCTCGCTGCTCTGTTGCTGTTCCCCGCGGTGTGATATCCCAAGATGAAGGAGTGAGGGGTATTGCTGGAGGATGTCAGCATGGCTGATAGTTCGTCTGAAGTCCTTTCTAGCCGGCCGGCAAGACTGCGGAGTTGAGTTGGAGGTGAATCAATCGTAGGACTTGGCTTCCCTTCGGCAACGTTCGGGCCCCTTGGCTTTAGGAGAATGAAGCTCACAATTCAAGACACACTACATAGAAATATTTCCATTGCCAAACAGTCACGTCGTAGGATTTGTATAGCGGTAATTGCTGCCTGTAACTAAGGGCGTCGCTTTTGTGAGAATTTATGTTAATTTCAGTATCCTATTAGTGTTGTCAATCTGTGGTTACAATGAAGTCAGGGAACGTCTATGTCCCTTGTAAACGCCGAACAGTCCCAGCCTTGCTACAATCAAAACTAAAGCATCGCTACTCAGCTCGGCTCTGTGTACGGCCTCGTATTCCTGCAATTGTGATCAAGTAAACAATCCCGTCATAGTGCTAACCCCTTTGACGGGCTTCGGGAGTCGTGGAAGCAAAGTCTGAACCCATCCTACTATCTGCGGCGCTTCGACCGAGATCCTAGAACCAACGATTAGCAGCTGAGATAATGGCAGAGGCCATGCCAAGTGATAGGGGCTGTCTTACTTGCATCCGTTGGCTGTAGATTCCATCTTGGTGCGTGACTGCGACTTCGATGAGCTGTGAGATCCAGACACAGCGAACGGACCCCATCCAACGGATGCGTTGACTGTCGTGGAAGACGCCGGGACAGCACTTTCGAGCTTGGTCGTATCACCAGAGAACTATAAGACGGTGTTAGTGGTCTAATCGCGCAAGGTGAAGATTTTCTCAAGACGCACGTTCAGTTCGATATCTGCTGCCAAGACGAAGGCGGTCGGGTACGAAGAGAATTGCTGATACTCTCCCTTCGGATTCGTCCCCTCTTCAAAATGCTTCTTCAACTCATCTTCTCCAGGCGAGATGTCAAATCTGCCATCTGGTCAGCATTTTGAGACGAGCAATCGACTCGGGCTGCTTACTTTCCAGAGTCCAGCTCTGCATCTGCAAAGAGCTCTGCATGAAGCCAAGGACGCTCAATCTCCACGACCATGCAACTCATACTGACTTCAACGTCGAGATTCGACATTGACTGCATTGCGTCTCTGCATATCGTATAAGTAGGTGTATTTCTCTGGCATGACGGAGTTAGGAGCAGACTTACGCGCTGCTTGAGCTGTGACTTCCACCGCCTGAAACGCTCCACAGCCCCCAGCCAGCCTTCGCTGCAACTGCCGAAGCTGACTGGGAAGTCTTAGTCTCTGAAAGACTAGATTTACTCGATACCTTGCAAGACACCTATGGAAACGGTCAGCTTTACTTTGTGATGCAGAACTCATGCTTTTTCGACATAGCACGTGCCTTGGTCCATGGGTCAGGCTGGTGTTCTGGCGCATTTCTCCATGTGTTTTCGTCCGCCAAATTAAAGCTGTTTGGCTTCTTGTCGCTCGAATTGATGTCTGAGATGTGTTAATAACATGTATCGCGAACCAATTCTTGGAGGTTGATATCGGAACACTCACATGGATCAATGGCAATTTGGTCTCCTGTTACCTGAATGCCATCCCCACCTACCACAGGTAAGTCAAGAAGCTTTCCTGGAAGCTGGTTCGGCTCGGGTGTTGCAATGGGCATGCTCAGTCTAGTCTTGAGCTCGTCGATTTCTGTCTTCAACTGGTCGATTCTGGTTTTCAACCATCCAAGGGCAGCACCTTTGCTCAGATCACTATTACTCCGTACGGTTGCGTTATCTCGGTTCAAGCTGTCTTCTGTATGTTTCTTCTGCGCTTTTACCAGTGCGTCAAGAACGTTGTCACCTGACTTTTCGCTGTCCTGGGCTCCGCCGTTCTGGACATCCATGGCAGCATACACATCGAGATATGCTGCCTTCAGGCCCTTCGGGTCTGCTTCCTTGTTGGCTTCGAAGACAGGGACGAATTTGTTTCCTTCAATTGCCTGAATCGTTCGTTAAAGGTGGTCAAGTAGATGTAGGTGTCTGGCCTCTTACCTCTTGGAGGGTCTGGTGGGAGGCAAGCAGGTTTTGCAGGCGGCGAAGCTCAGCGCGAACTTCAGCAATGCTAGGCCCGTGATTGTTGGCCTTCCAATTGAGCACCTTGAGGGCCACTTCTTTTGCCCTGAGACCGGTTCAGAATCAGCATGTAAGGTAGACAACTCTGAAGACTTACCAGGTGCTTGGGGTAAGCACAACCCCGTTGTATTCGCTCGAGCCGTCCGAAGCAATGATTGTGAGATTGCGGTACGCCTCCTTGCTGTTTTCGATGCGTTTCATGCCAGACGAAATGTCGACAACTCCAAAATGGAAATCAACCTAGCCTTTGATGAGTTTTGAGGGGGAGTCTTCGCGGAAAACTCAAAAACTTACCAAGAACTTATAGCCGTGAACTACCCAGTCCATGTACTTGGTTTGTATGTTGTTCTTGAACTATTCATTGTGTCAGTATATTAGCCTTCCGACGTGAGTCAACCCCACATCATCTGATGCGTGGCTTCATGTACTGACATTGCGCGCATGCTCTTGTAACCACTGCATGTACTTCTCCCTCGCCTCCTTTTGCTGTGAAGGTGAAGCCCCTGGAACGCTGAAATCCTTCAATGCAGCGCTCTGAGCATGGGCATAGGCCGCAACTTGCTCGGCCCATGCAGACTGTTTCTGTACATAGGTATCAACCTTGGTTTTGCCGGCGCCAGTGGGAGTATCGTCCGGAGAAGTGAGATAAGACATGGACAGTTTATAACGATCTCTGATGGTTCTAAGTCGCTCGTCGGCAACATCACCAGTCTCGTTCCCTATGACGCCGGAGACAGACGCTTCGACGGGAATCAGCAAGTCGAGCGTGGCCAAGTAGCTGCGGGCCACGCTTTTGCCTGTTTTTCCGGCCTAATTATGGTTACTCAAGGTTATGGTGTTCACAATATCAACCAAAGAAAGCTTACTGTGAACTTCGACAGAGGTATCATGCCATCTACCAGCCGTGCCTCCTTGACTTGGATATCTAGAGGGGGCTTGATTAACTTTTCTGCATTGTAGTAATACTCCCTGGATTAAGTTAATTGGTAAGATTGTCATCGCAATTGAATGAGATAAGATAGGTATTAGGAAATTGCTTACTTCCAGTCGATTACCGTTCCGGGAAGGGAAACCGTCAGAACTTGATTGCTAGCAACGGGAATGGCGGTTGCTATAGCAGAGCGTACCGTCTGCTCAAATTTTCAGCACTTAATTCATGGCCTAGAACCTTCAGACATATATCAACTGACCTCTGAAGCAAGCTTCATTGACTTGAGTACGCCTGCTGCCTGGGCCTCCTGTGCGTCTCCCATGATGTAATCAGAAGAAACCTTGATTGAGGGGATTCAACTCGTTTTATTGAGACTAGAAGAATATGAGAAGAAGTCGCAATTGGTTGAAACTGAAACTGATTGCGAATTTGATTGAACGTGGTGGCGAGAGATGAGGCCCTTAAATAATCCATTCGAGCATCCTCAGTCCCAAGACATGCATTTGCTGCGATTTGGATTTCGGCACATTCTGACCTTCAGTTAGCCTTGAGTATTCGAAGACTTGACGAGATGGGAAACCCATAGACTCACTTTTACATCACACTTTCACATCACACTTTCACATCACCATTTTGGCGTAACCTGTTTTCAGCCAAACTTGCCTTCGACTTTATCATCTGAATCAGGAAACGGCCTGCCATAGCAGATCCTACGCCAGAGTGCTGAGCACCCAAGCTCGAACCTTTTCCGGTCTCAGTATGATAGCTGCCACAAGCAAGTCGCTGTAGCACCTTGGAAGATGGTGACCCAAGAGTGAGGCAACTGCTAGTTCTGAAATGCTCAAGCCTCTGAAAGACCACTCAACGAAAGTGAACAACTCCACTCTGCCGTGCTCCTACCCCCGGTCTACCGAAAGCAGCATATATCGCTTCGTATCACAACATGGCTACCTAGAGTGAGACGTGTGGACGACTAAAGTAGCCCTGCATGGTTGTGTGAACTTGTGGGGTCTGCCTCAGCCAGCCACATACAAAGGACGCAACGTCAATCATCAAGCTGGAACTCTGCACTCCACAATACTGATTTTGCTCTTCAGAACAATTTCTGGGTCGTACTCCTGGAAATATTATAGGAAATTCAATAGTAGGATTACATGGAGTGTAAAAGTTATCTGCAGTCCTTGTCGCTGCTCAGCTCGTACTCCACTCGGTTCACGTTTGAGGGAAGTGGTGGAAACCCAATTCAGTGACGATATACGAGAAATGATAGTATCACGTCAAATAATTGCTATGTTTCAACTGGCTATAACCTACTAATCAAAAGTTTAGAGGGATCCTTATTGAGTATAGTTGAGAAATGCAAACAGAGCAGACAAATTTGTCACCAGGGTCCCACTGCAAGCCACTCTGGGTACGCAATACAATCACCCGTGACGAATCTTCTGTATCTAATTTGAACTCTATCACTGCGTTGGCTAGTGAAAATTGTGGTAAGCTGAGCGTTCCCATCATTCCACTATCACAAACTGCCAATCTACTTGATGTATCTCTGCCACCTAGGCATCTTGTGTGCCCCCTTTGGACCGACGCTGTGATGAGCGAGACAGCCTAACGAAGACTGGAGAGATCATTGAGACTACGAAGGTGACAAATGACCGGAAAAGGAAGATATGCGGTCCTGAATCTACAAATCTGGCCATGGGGCTCACAACAAGCCATGCATGGATCAACCTGCCTAAGAGTGTAGTTTGGAAGTACTCGAGACCAGTTTATGTGTGACGAAAAGTCGTTCGTTTGGAAACGATCAGCTGATAGGGGAGATCTGAGTTCTGCAAACATTGAGGCCTGCAATACGGACAGAAGCCAAGAACACAGCTCGCGAGCGTGGATGTGACTTGTGACAGTCTGGAAGCGGTAAATGATACGATGTCTGCAACTGCCGATAGCTTTTCTGCGTCATAGACAGAATGAGGCTGCCTGATGATGTGAGCGCGGTGCGATGATTGAGAGTCAGGAGATTCAAGGCCTATCCCACTGTTACGCATTTGGGACCGCATGTGAGATCGTTGCCTCAGCCAGAAGGAGCCTGTGGAAAGCTACAAGCTCTAGCAAACCGCTCTTATGACGATGAAAAATTATAAAACCAAGAGGCGGCCCTGCATTCCGTGGTTTATTTTCTGTATCAGCCATCAAACAGCTTCATTGTGTACCTGTTCAACTTCTACAACAATTTCCTCCTCTCAGAAATCCATTTTCACACATCATAGTCAACATGGGCGTCGTTGAGAAAGGCAACAAGATCTTCGTCTCCGCCAGTGAGATCGACAAGAACAAGGTCACTGTTGAGTGGCAGCAGAACTTCAAGCAACGTTCGCAGGAGTATTACACTGTTCCCTTCATCAATAAGAGCCAGGGTGTGTTGATGCCAATTGTACATCGCATGAATCAATCTCGACACTAACTGCTGCTGTAGGAGACCAGGAGAGCGTCCTCTTCATCCAGACCAACTACCTCGACGCCTTCAAGAAGAAGCAGGCTGCAGGCGAAACTGAGTTCACTGTAGTCGTTGACACTTCCTTCCAGTACGGCCAGAATGATGAGAAAACATCACGCTGGATTGTCTATCATGACAAGAGTATGAACGCCTTCCAGGTAAGCAATGAGCCAGTCCACTCACGAAGAAGTATGTAGCTCAGATGCTAATAACGGGATTTTTTCAGTGGCGATTCGTTGCGAGTGTCAAGTCCAAGCTGGGCAATCAGCTGGGCTCGTTCGGTGGTGGCATCTTCAAGAGCTTCGTTGGTGTCGACATTGGGAACTTGGCTGCGCTCATCGGCCACCCCCTCCGAGACTTCTAAGATTCTCCGGACAGAGCGTCAAGCTAGCTACTTTTTGTTTCGCACTATTTCATTACTTTCGGATCATATCCATGTCTGTCACTCTGTCAGATGATGGCTGAGTTCCACAACGCTCTTTTGATAAGGCACTCTAATTCTTCACATTCGAAACACTCCTTTATATCCCGGGACTTTAAGATTTTAATTATCAGAAGTAGAAGAATGATAAATTCAATACATTCTTCCCAAATATTAGGCTTTTGATCTCAGACTGAGGGTGACGATTGGCCCATACGACCGACTGGTATGGCTCCAGACGTGGTAGACAGAGGCTCCATTTGAAAGTAGACTTCAAACGAGTGATGCTTGTCCCCCGTACTTATTCACTCGAATATACGCGGCCAAAAGTTCTGTCTCTTGAATTCCGGTAGGCCACAAAAAAGGAAGTATCAAACCAAAGACAGACGAGACCTGTTCCTTCCTCTTCTAATTTCACCAAAGAACCCGAAATTTTCATTCCGCCGGCCCTTTATCTGAGAATTGCTCCGAAAGCCACGGGTCCATCTCAACTCACTTTAACCATATACAGGCTGGTCTTATTCTTTCTATTCTTGTCTTCTCAATTCATCTTTGGTTTCTCTGCAGATCTTCTCAATTGGTGTTGCTGGTCAACGTTCAAAGACAGCTTCGGCAACTTGGCTATCGACCTTTGATCCCTGGACTTTTCATCTTCTCAGTTCCTTTCAGCCAAGTTTTTCTTTACCGATTACATACGACGAAAGAAGTCGCTGGACGACTCGAATGACACTCGAACTAATCACCCCGACTCTGTCTCGTTCATCCCTTCTCTCACAACCATGGGCGGTCTTGACCTCTCTCCGCTGCTAAAGTCGGGCGAATACAGCGATCTCGGACTCATCACCACCAATACCAATGATTGAGTCGAGAATAAACACTCTATTCATCGCAACATTGTCTTCGGCCAATGCCCGAGGTTGAGAGACATGGTGTCTTCAGTTGGACCACTAGTAAGCCGTTTACCTAGACTCATACGACCTCTTCTAACAACCTACCTTAAAGAACCAAGTGAATGGAGTTGACATCGCCCATCCCGACTATGATGGCAAAGTCCTCGGTACTGTGTTGCGCTATCTGTACTCCAGACAGTACGACGCGCAATACGAGATAGCGGTCCGGCGAACGACTGAGGCTGGTCTAGTTGACCAGCCTCACTCTATGTACTGGTCAATCCACGCTATGCAGCTGGCACATGAACTGGGGCTCGTCTTAATGTACAGAGAAGCAGCGGAGGCGTTGTGTTATTCAGCAAAGCAACTCACAAACCATGTTGACTTCCCTGGCGTGATCGACGAGCTGTATAAGACGTGTGGCCAGCACCCAGACTTCCCCGACAATCTTGCAAGGATTGCAAGGACCATTGCAAAGAACTGCCTGATAAATAGACGTCTGCAAGATCAACTAAAACCCGTCATGCTAAAACACCCGCAGCTTGCCCTCGACGCAATGGAAGCAACCTTGGACGCTCTGACCGAAACCCGAAAGGATCTCATCGAAGCTGAGGATGAGATCTCCGACATTCGAGCTCAGGGATATCGAGCTGATGACTGTTGGGCCGAAGCTGAGCGTGAAAGGGATCGAGAAAGAGAGCGGGATCGGGAGAGGAGAGAGGGAGAGGCGATCCGCGATGGCAGCTTTGAGTTCAAGATTATCCAGGGCAGCAAGAAACGAAGCCGCTCTTCTTCTCATGGCACTGAACAATATGCAGAACCAGGAGGAAAGATTTAGTTCGTGATAGGGATGCGAGAAGGAAGGATAGGTTGATTCAAGAATAAGGGCAGGGGCTTTGGGGTATTCGTTGGCGAAGAAGGAGCTGGACTCTATTATTAGACCTATCATTAGTCTTGCGTTCTCCATGTGATCTTCCACCAAAGATTCTATCACAGAATAATAATCTGGTCACGTCACGAGCTGTCTTGTCATTAAATTTTGAGCACCGTGGTTATTTCCAAGGTTGAGTTATAAGAAAGAGACATAGACGACCTCCTTCTGCATGCGAAGCAAGCTGGAGTGGACTCTCTTCATCGACAAAAAGCCTCCTCTCTGCTGATTTCCTTCCCCCTCCCCCTCTTCTTCTTCCCTTTCTCACCTCAGCCCAATCTCTGACTTGACAAAACCAACCAACTGAGAGGAGGAAAGTCTGTAGATAGCTTTATAAAAGTTGTTTTGTTTTCAATCATATCACTTCAACTTGATCTTTCTCTCAACTATCATGCCTTGGAACCATTGCCAATTCAATCATACTTTCAAGCTCAAAGCGATATAGGTACGTAGCGATCTAAGATGGTGAATGTCGACCTTAGCGGTCTCTATAACTCAACCGAATACAGCGACCTCACAATTGAGGAGTCGGGGGAACTCTTTCACTGCCATAAATGCATTGTCTTTACTCAATATGAAGCATGGGGAAAGATGCCCTTGAAGGTAAGTTGAAGCTGCTCTAGCTATTAAAGCCCTGGGAAAGTACCTCTTGCTAACATGAAACCTGTAGAACGGACGTCTTTTGCTCGCAGGAGCATACACCACGAAGGCGGTATCCAATTACATGTACACGGAAAGTACAAGCCATTCAACGTTCCCTGCTTCACCGACAAACCAGAGGTCCTCGAGACAAACGCGGAAGGCACGATCGACGAGCTTGAATACACTAAGCAGGGCATGATTCTCACCGCTGTCGTTATGGCCCGAGAAACGTCGCTCAAATTCACCACACTATATGAGCAGGCTAAAGCCGAGCTCTTGATATTCGCGCCTACTCACACCCAACACGCAGACTTCATCGAAACCATCAAGTACGTTATCCAAACTCAACCTCATGAGGAGGCACTGCAGATTGTCGTGCGAATGATCAAGCCGCGCTACGAGGTAGACGCTGCTCTGGGAAAGAGACTCTCGATCATCCTAAGGAATTATTCGAGAATTGCTTGCGTTCTTCTAGAGGAAGCCCCGTAAGAGCTCTATGCCATCAAGAGAGAAAGCAGCCTTACTCATCAGAGGGATAAGACCGAACCCGGCCAACTTGGAGTAGGCTACGGCCAGCCCCCCGCAGCTCCTGTCATGGGTTCCACGCGGAGCACACCGCTGCAAGTTGTGAGCGCGACTTCTGCGAAGCGCAAGGGGGCCGATGGCGAGATGCCCGTGACTAAGCGCCTCAGAAAGAGCATCAAATAGTCGCTCGGTTCGTTGGACATACAAGGACGGGACATGAGCCAAACATGGACAAGCTGTTCGGATTAGGAGGAGAAAATAGACTTGGCACTGCTTAACAGACGAACCTATTGCTTTCTCATAACCATGCGACCAATATCAGATTGATCGCTTCTATACGCATGAGTTAACTTTGATGTTGGTATGATTGGGTATCTATCCAAGTATTCCCGGATTCTATTCCTTTTGATACACGACGCCTGGCATATTGGCCCTTCCTGTTGTGGGTTCCCATCATGTAGTGGGTATGATTATACATATCTTACACGTGCAACCCCCATCCGACACTTCTCGTAAGATGTCTCGTTCTCCCGCACCTCTTCCTCCGGCCCAGGCAGCTCTTGCTTCAAGGCCAGGCCACGCTTGATGACCTCATGCAGATTCTGATGGTTACCCCATTCGTCCTCGTATATATACTCTTCCACCTCTTCGTCAGACGGCCAGTGCATCGGCCCCCCGTTTCTGCCACCGCTCTGTGCCATAACCTCCTCTCGCAGAGCACTCATCATCTCCTCATCGAGCAACGGCTCCGCGTAGGCGCGAAACGCACGAAATGCCCTCGTGAGGTACCGCGCGTGCGCCAGCGAAAGGTCCTCGCCGGCCTTGGGAACCCACTCACGAATGACCCACCACATCAGCAACACCATCTCCTCGCGGTCGCCAAGGAACGCGAGCGTGCGCATGTACGTGTTGATCGTCGCTGCCGTCACGAGCTTGTTCACGTCGGGGTTGGACGCCGGACCAAGGGTGGCGAGTGCTCTCCACGCGGCCTTGAGTTGGCTCGACGCTTTTTGGACTGTCTCGATGGGTGTCTGGCCGTGGCCCAGCTCTTCGCGTTGGAAGATGGGGTGGAGGAGGTGGCGATATGATAGCTTGCTGAAATAGCCAGAAAGACGCAAGACACGGCCCTTGGGGATCTTTACTTTGTTGCTCTGCTCTTGATATAGCGATAGAAACTCTTCATCTTCATCTAGAGTCCGTGAAGTAGCCGCGCCTTCTACGGGAGGCGTTCGCGTTTCCGTTTCGTTCATTTCTTGTTCGTCAGACTGAACTGGCGATTTGGTCGCATCTTTAGTCAGCAAAGCGGCAAGTCGTGGTTGGACCGCTTTGCGTAATACACTGGCAAACGCAGTCATCATTTTGAGACTGAGCCCGGAATGTCCCTCAGCCATCTTTAAGGCTTTGATTGCCAGATGCAGCACTTCGATATTGTTCTCTCGGGGCATGCTGTTGCTGACCATGATGTTTGATCTGCCCAAATTGAGCAGTATTGTCTCCCATGGCACCCGGCCAGAGACGTCGGCTGAAGCCCAGCCCATTTGCGCAAGTTGAACGGCGTAGTGGATACTATACATGCTCTTGTTAGAGATGTGTAGCGGCGTATTCGATGTTCGGTTTGGTTGGAGACGACAAAGCAGGTCAATGAATGCGTGTAGTATCTCGTGTGGCGGGTTTATCAACGCATTCCCCGTGAGACCCTGGTAGTCTTTCAGACTCTGCCTAAGACTGCCTTTGAGTCCCTCATCCAAGCTACTGCAATCGATATGATGCAAAGCAATATCGACGCTGGGTGATTGCTTGATCAGTCCAGCCAAGAAGGGTCCACGAATGGGAATACCCGCGGCATACATCTCTTCCACAATTCTGCGAATGCTAGGTGGGTTGGTCCGCGCCCTCTCAAAGTCGCTGAGGTTCTCATCGTTGTAGGGGAAGACCTCCCTTCCATCTCCTGGAAGATTGTGATGTCCGGCCTTTGCTGGCTTCGCAGAGAGCTTGGCTATCAATTCTCTGTACACTTCAAATGTTGGTTTCATCCCTGATTCTGGGGGATGTTTGAATAGTGCCCAAGCTTCTTGTGCATTTCGAGTTGTCCGAATCTGAGCTGCCCATGCACCTTGCTCAACACGAAGGTGGCGTGGGTAATTCGCCCTAGTCTGCACTGTCGGTGAGCCATCAGGAGCCATGCCACCTAGGATATCCGTAATTAAGTCGAAATCCTTCTTGCTGTATCCACCCTCTTGCATCATCACACCGGCCTTGACAACTCGGCTTTGGTAGGCTTCGGGACCGGCTTTCTCTTCCATACCATCTCGCATAATCCGATGAGGGGGCCAATGGCTGGCAAGAGTGCTGGCCGTGTCTCGTTCCGAAGCTGTTTTTGGTGATGCTAGCAAGACTTGCCGAATCGCCCGATAGCTCTCTTCCTCAATGATCAAGGTCTTCTCCGAGGTGGATGATAGCGACAGAAGCTTAGTCACAGCTGTCCAGTTGTAAGAGCTGTACTGATATGGGGACTTCTTCGATACGATTGATACAGCCTGTAGAGCGCGATTGAGCGCCTGGCATTGTAGCCTGTACGCCTTGTCTGGGTGACGATGTCCATAGGGAATATTTTTGATGTACGCCACTGAGAGCTCTGCGATATCAGGTAATGCGTCGGGCTGCAGTCTGCTCGCATGCTGACACAGTTTGTCGAGTAATTTGCCGAATAAATCCGGTGTAATTACAGAGCCCAAGTCAAAGGCCTCTGGCGCATGGCCGGACGACATGTTTCGTTCCGCATACCATTCATTACAATATCTCAGCAGTCCCAACAAGGATTCGGAGCTTTGAAAGTACGGCCTGCTGGTGAGCAGGTAGAATAAGACGAAGAGGGGTTTGTGACCTGGTCTGCTCAGAAATCTTTCGACCCTCTTGTCCGGATCGCGCGGGATAATTATCCAAGCCCAATTAGACAAGTTAACCTGTGTATGACCTCTCGATGACAATTGCTGTAGAGTCGTCTGCCACTGTCGGCTGTTGCATAGCAGGCGCGCAATATCTGGTCTGAGCTCTGGGATCTGACGGAGGATTTCCTGTGCAGTGATGACGCTGAGCTGAGGGGACCTCAACTGTGCCAGGAACCGTAGATTGGATAGCTTGGATTCGGAGAGTGGTTCGGAGGGGAGGCGATACAGGTCGGCAGCATCGGCAAGGAGTAAGTCTGAGAATATCGATCGCTCCTGGCGCACAATCCGTATCGAATCGCGCCGGGATGGGGATTTTGGCGCTTCATATGACTGTGAGGGGCGTCTGAAGGGTTGGATTAGCTGCCAAGAAGGTGTTTGCTGTATTGCGGCAGCAGTATGGCTGGGCTGGTAGTTGTGCCGTTGGGATAGCTGCTTGAAAGAAGGACCATGTTAGTTACGATACTGAGAGAGCTTTCAAGGATGGAGGGAGCACTCACAGCTTGCCAGTCGCGGCCAAGCACCCATCGGCCCCTGGTCAGGACAATACCGTGTGATCTGGAAATGGGCGGCGGCCGCATTGCCCCATTTTCGCTAGTAAAACCTCGAGATCCCGCGATTGAGATGCTGCGAGACTACTTAAACGTTGAACTTAGGGGAGCTTAATGAAGTTCCATGAAAAAAAGGTCCGGGGGCGAACGTCGCGAATGCGGGAAGCTTTCCGCAGTGCATCACGTGCGATAAGGAAGCTCAATCGATAAGAAAAACGATCCCTGCTTGGTGTACCTACCCTCGGAGCAAGGTTCCCTAGAAACCAACAAGCCCCATCTGCAAAAGCTATGCAGCAGTGTTGATTTTCTTCGCTTTGTTATTGTGTCTAGGAATTGCTCAATGGTGCCCGGAATTTTTTAAATGCGACCGTCTCATTTCAAGATAGCGTCCTCGCTCAGCCGCGGGCTGCACACCGCTCGCTCCATGCCCCGCCAGCGATACTTCCATGTCACGACACCAGCGAGCATGCCGCGGAAGCGGACTTTCTTCACCTCGAACGTTTACCTTTCCCAGAACACTGGCGAGCCGACCGCGAGGCCACCGAGGCGAGAAGATGACGATTTGTCTCAGCTTACAGCACCAAAGCGTAAGGGGGTGCGCTCCGCCGGCGCAAAGAACTCCCTACGACGCGTAGCGATCATCGCCCAGCGACCGGCGCAACGAGAACCAGGAGAGGTGCCTGCAGAGATGGTGGATGCATCTGCACCCACACTAATAAGCGCTGTGTGTGTTGCCGAAGCTTTCAATATGGGAACCGTTCTGGACATTCTCCGGGCGCATGGGTTTGGCATTGATCCGTACCAGAGCGGATTCGAGGCGAGCGAGGTGGTCCACGCACGAGGCGTCAATGGCGGTGATATCTTCGTCTTCCCCTCAGGGACCATTGTCACCTGGGCCCTGCCACCAGATGTTGTCACCAAGCAGTTGCTGAATGCGGCAGAAACGCCGCTGAAGCCGGCTCTTCGGGAGGTGGAGGACCTGGAGTACGTGTCTGATCCTAGCAAGGAGACGAGCAGTATGAAGGGTGATATCGTAGTCCTGGGCACAAAACTCGAAGAACGAGACGGCGATAGGCTCGATACAACCCTCGCCAAGATTGCGTTTTCTTCTGGATTGGCTCGAAGTACAAAGCTTGCGGTGCTGGAAACCGCGCTGACGGCATACTTTGAGAGCACCAGAAAGATTCCTTCTGTGCTGTCAAAGGGTTCCGGTCTACCCTTGGGCAGGAAGTTCATCTTGCAGAAGACAGGCGAGCTGTTGAGCCTCCGCGCGAGGCTGAATCACTATTCAGAACTCACTGACTCTCTTCCAGACATCTTCTGGGACAGCCGATCCGAATTGGGTCTGGAAGGTTACTATGAGCAGGTTGGCCGGGCGCTGGACGTCAATGTACGAATCCGGACTTTGAACCAGAAGATGGACTACGCGCAAGAGATTGCGAGTGTCCTGCGGGAGATGTCGAGCGAGCAGCACAGCACGAGGCTGGAGTGGATCATCATCATCCTTATTGCTGTCGAGGTCGTCTTCGAGGTTAGGAGGATTGTGCTCGAGTACAAAGAAGAAAAGGAGGATGATAAAGTGGAAGCCTAGGATTATGTCTATTCGAACTAGGTACCCCGTACTGCTGTTGAACTTTCAAAGATACCCAACTCAATGATTAAAGAAGGCTTCTACGAAAAATGAGCATTGAGTCCAATTTGAAGGTGAAAAGATTCACAATGTCCTGCATAATTGACTTGCCTCGGCTTTTGCTCATTTCATATCAGGCGCAGGAAGTGACATTTCTCCAGTTCATAGCTGAGGTACTTCAGATACCTAGTAAGTTAGTTATCAGCAAAGAACGGTCCATGAGTAGTCCACGAACTACTTTCTACATGTTTCTTCTACTAAAAGACCTTATGCTTGGACGTCTGATCCGACCCGCGAATAAGCAGTCCTAGGCGAATATGCTCATGCTAAAGTAAGGTACATGGATTGTGCAAAGTCACTTTCGAGATTCCGAGAGACCCTGCGCTAGCCGCTGCAGGAACGGCAACAGCATGGCACCAATTGTGGGGTTGCGCTTACCCAATTAGATTCATCGACAATCGTTGTAGAATGGCTGAAAGTAAACAATTGTTCTGAATGTCATCCCCTTACAGGTGAGCTCTTCCAGACTCTTGCCTTTTTCGGTGTCCCTCTGGCGAGACTGTCTAAGTACTTAGTACTTCCAGGTCTTCTCAAGATCAGATCTTCCTCTCCTACCTACCTAGGCCGTCCAGTACCTTCTATCTCTGCTGGGCCCTTTTCCCTGAAAGAGGAAACTACCTAGCTACAGGTACCTCGCCTTTCATTGCTCGTTGCGATTTGCCTTCTTCCAACGTATCTGTCTTCCGTATCATACCTCTCACCTTCGCACCTTTCAACCCAGTAATCTAACCTAACTTGGTTGGCTCGAGGGTCTGCATTCAACTCTTCCTCCACCTAGACATCCCAATATTACTTCGTCAAATACCTTCCGGATACAACATCGCGCTTAACGGCCGAGCCTACTTCGCCTACGCGACTACATCGCCAACCTTATTTTGGCCATCCCTGCCTGTAGGATCTCGATTATTTATAATCGAAATATACAATTGAGCCTCGATCCGTCCACAGCATTGTTCAGCAAACAGAGCACCCACCAGGCAGGGGTTTAATGCGTGTGTGACACCCGGGCCGCGCCTACCTCACCTCGCGGTACCGAATCCACCATGCCTCCTCCGCTTATTGGTATGTTTTCTCTGTTTTTTCACATCATGTTGGCTCGTGTTTATCTCACTATTATTTATCCAAGAGGAAATGGAGGGTTTGGACGGCGGTCTACCTCACGATTGGGAAGAAGACCTAGATCTGCTTGCGGATCCCTTTCTCGTCGCTTATGACAATGAAGTCGATGAGGGTGAGCCCGAGCTAGGCAATGAGGTCTCCAACTTTGACGATCACGACCCTTCTCAAGCCTTGGAAGGACCACCGTCCTTCATCGATGATGAGTTGTCCTCAGCACAAATTCCAGGATCGCCGATGCCTGTTGACGCTGTACCGGAAGCTCCGTCACAGAAGCAGCCCATCTTTGATGAACATGGCAAAAAGATAGGCACTATTCTACCGGCGATGACCATCAACCCTGCGCGGAACATATCGATCGATATTCCCTCCAGCACACTTATCAGACCGGCGAGTCTTTATCAAGGCGAAGAGCCGCGACTCAGCGAACGAGAGTGGGTAGCGGTACGGTCTTTGTTGCAAGAGACGCGGCAGAACAATGACGACGGAGACGAGCAAGACTTCATTGAGTTTGAGATTGAAAACTTCGCTGTCTACATTGACGCTACGGTGCCGGGTGGCAAGCTTTACGAGGAGAGGCGGTATCCCTGCGAGATGCGCCCTCTGCAACATCTGAGTATTCAGACCGCATGCACGCAGATGTACGTTGACGGTGTCTTGTCTGTGGGGGATAAGCGATTCTTTGTTAGGCAAATACCTTTCGACGAATTGCCTATCGGTAACTACGGGCCTTCCGAGGCCACAGTCGGCTCTGAGATTTGGATACGTTCCAAATATAACGTTGCCATCGCCGACAAGAAAGGCCCAGATGTTTACTATCGTCTTGGCAGTCCAGCGCCAGAATACCGACGCTATCATGCTGGTTTTCTCTGGATTGCAGATCTCGCGAAGCACGTCGTAGACTATCTCTCTGCGGCTATCGAGCAACGCCGTCGCGTCACGTTTCGTGACTTCCGATCCGACTTTTCTCAATGGCTCGCGAAGACGCATGGTAACTCGAATGCTTTCTCCAAATGGCGGCGGCAATATTCCGGAGAGGACTTTTGCGCAGCAATTGTGCCGAATGTCGAATTCATCTATAAGGAAGCTTACGGGGTCCTTGGGCACCATAAAGCCACAACGGTATATCTCTGGAGAGAGATCCGCGAGTTCAATGCATTCGCCGATAAGCAGAAGAATATACTCCAGACCGCTGACAGTGACGCTTCCACGCCACAAGCTTCACCGTCGCCAACGCCGACTCCAAAAAGACTCAAGCCAACTAGTATACCCAAAACAGTGGTAACTCCTTATATCAACGACCTGTTCCATCATTTGCCCTGTGGGCCGATGATGGCGGTAACCAGTCCGAGCACAAACGTGGAAAAGCTCCGGAAGGGCGTCATCCGAGGCCTGGGCTTGGAGGAGGCTACAAGAATTCACACGACGGCAAAGGACGTCTTTGAGAAGCCCAGACAAGAAGTGCGAGTTGGAGATGTGGTTTCAACCCACAGAGACGACATCGAAGACCACTGGGTTCGAGAAGATGGTACTGGATTCAATGACGTCGACTGTTGGTTCGGGCTCGTTCAGAAAGCTCATCATGTCCACAGCTCGCGACAGAAGAGTTTCGACGTCATTTGGATCTACACGCCTACGCATACGCTCTGCGGCACCATGAGGTATCCTTGGAAGAACGAGTTATTCCTGTCGGATCACTGTACCTGCGGCGACTCTTCCGTCGGAAAGATCAAGGAGGATGAGATATTGGGGGTCCACAGAGTAGACTGGGGAGGCTCGTCTGGAACTGATGCGGAGTTCTTTTGCCGCCAAACCTACCTCCACCAGGAGCGCAGATGGATTACCTTCAAAGAGAACCATCAGCGATGCCTTCACCGCCGAGATTTACTGGAGTTTCCTTACCGAGTTGGGGATACCTTGCTGGTAAACCTTGAGTCAGATGACGCCACAGCCGAGCCCTGCGAGTTGGCAACTCTCCCAAACGCCGAGGGCGTAGTAACGTTCCGCCGCTTGGAGCGCAGAAACCGTTTGCAGCCCGCCATGAGTGTTCCGCCGAATGAACTAGTATACACCGAGGTGTTCTTTACTTTGAAGCAGAGAAAGATTCATGGAAGATGTCTCGTCCGAGTCTTCAATCTCGGAGAAAAGATACCACCGCCATACGATCGGAATGGGGTGGGCAATGCCTTCTTCATAACGCAGCGATGGCAGGATGGCGTCATGGTTTCCGTCGACGATGCTCCGATTTCATCGCTTAGACAGGCATTCAATCCCCAGAAAGTATTCCCCAAGCTTCGGG